AAGATATCTGCAATCTCTAATATCAAATGAAAATTTCTATAAAAAAGGATAATCCACTCTCTTTAAGAAAAAAATCAACGTTAAAAAACTAAACTGTTTGTTGAAAAGTAGGCAGTCCATAATCTTCAAAATAAAATAATAAAAGTAGGATAATCTACTTCCAAAATAAGATAAAAATAATAACTTAGCACTCTCATCAAAATATCAAGGACATAAATCTTGAAAAACTAAAATATCAAAATATTCTTATGTTACTTAAAAAGATTAGATAACCACTCAAAGATGATATAATATTAAACTAAAATAGCTATTGCCAAAGACAAGAAGACTAAAAAATCTTGGAGCAAGATTAAAGACTAGAAAGGCATTGAGAAGAGTGAAGAAGATTTCACTCTTACTTCTATATGTACTATCTAACTAGAAGCTATGTGGTAATGTTATATGAGAACTCTAACACATGTTGACTTTATATGATATATATTTTAACTTACAAGGCAAGTTTTCTATATGTGCACTATATAGTTAACTTGCTTCACATACTACCAACACGAGATTAACTATTTAATAAGTTTCTAATCTATCAATTACAAATATGTATAAAGTCAAAATTATGTCTATAAAGCTTATAAGAAGCTTCTCTAGAAGATATTATGAAATTAATTTATTTTTATATATTTCTATTTAATAATATAGATAATTATTGGAGTAATTATATATGTCTAAAACAAATGAATGTAGAGACAAGGGTGGGATTAGAAACGGAAATAGAAGTGGGAACAAAGATGGAATTGATGATGGAATTGGAGATAAGGGTGGAGTTGGAAATGGGATTGAAGATGAGATTGGAATTAAAGATGAAGATGGAGATAAGGATGGAGTTGAAGACAGAGATAGGAAGAAGGGTAGAATTGGAGATGGAGATGGAGATGGAGGTGGAGACAAGGGTGGAATTGGAGATAGGAGTAGAGACAAGGATGGGATTGGAGATGAAGTTGGAAATGAAGGTAGAATTGGAGATGGAAATAGAAACAAGGATAGAGTTAGAAATGGAGGTGGGGATGAAGATGTAGTTGAAGATGGGAGTGGAAACAGAGATAGGAATGGAGGACATGAATAGAAGTTGAGAATGGAATCAAAGACAATGGACATGTACAAAATAGATCATAAGGTGGAAGTAGGGTATGACTTTAACAAAATTAAAATATGTTTTTAACATCATTCTGATTTTAATTATATTTTTATGTTATTATTTATTATTTTATTATATATTTTTATATACTAATATTTTTTATAGCATTTTTTAATTAAAAAAATTATCAAATATTAATATTAATTATTATTAAGATTAAATAATAAATAAATATTTGAATATTAATAAAAATTTAGTATATTAGTTTGATTTAATAAATCCCAATTATAAATAATTTAATTTTTAATATAAGTAAAAAAAATTAATTTTAAATATATATATATATTTAAAAATCAAATTTTTTAAAAATCATATTTTTTAAAAATCATATTTTATACAGGTGAATTTTAAATATTTTTTTATTGAAATGATAATTAATTTGTTAAAAGATTGCATTTTATTCAATCTAAACTTTATTTTCTAATAAAACTCAAACATCCTTTATATCATTTTTTAGACGGATTTTTATTAAATCATGTATATAAATTTATGTATATACAAAATTTCTATCACTACTTATATATAAATCTTTTTACTTAATTTTTATAAAATAATTAGATATAATAAAATAATTATTTTTAGTAATTATTTTAATCTATTTTTTAAAAATAAATTAATTAAAAAGATTATTACTAAAACAATATCTTGGACTTTATCTTTTAAAAAATAGTTTTTACAAACTACATAAATATATGTTTTTTAATTTAAAATTTTTACATATAAACTAAAGTCTTTTTATTTTTGTAAGATTTTTAGCAAGTAATATTTAAGTTGTAATTCTCTTAGTAAAACATTTATGTAAGATCTAAAACTCTTTAGTTATTATATATTTATATATATTTATATATAAATACATATATATACATATAAATAAAAATATTATATTTATTTTAAATTTTTATTAATATAATATTTAAAATATATAGATATATCTATATATTTGTATATATGTGTATATATACATATATTTTTAAATAGTTATTTTAAAATATAATAATAATAAGAATAACATAAATAATAAATTTATATTCAAAATGGCTTTTTTCTTGTCTTTACTTTCTTATAATAACATTAAATAATCAAATGTAACAAACTTTGTTTTATTACTTTAAAGACCTTAAAAAAAACATTCTACTACCTAAATATGTTAATGTTATATGTGTTAGTTTTGATTTTATTTTGTTTTATATTTTTTTAGTAGATGTATATATATTTTTATTTATTTATTTATTTATTCATTCATTATAATTTTTTAATATATATGTGTGTGTGTATATATACACACTATATAAGTGTATTCCCATTGTATAATCCAATTTCTATAGTAATGTCTATGCTCTAACCACAATAAATTTTATTACTACCCTTTAATAATATCTAAAAGTATGAATTGCATCTCTTAAGTTATTCCCTTAACTTTTACAATACATCTCAACATGTAACTATGTATACTTTAAAGTGGACTAATTTATACCTAAGAACATTTGTAAAAAGTTTTAGACCATATGGCCACCTATACTTTTAAATCATGCTGCAGTACATCTTAATTGTGGATTCAGGCCATTAAGGTCTAGTCTTCACAATGGTCTAAGAAATTATTTTAGTTATATGTCTTGTATATCTTGGATATCTGTAAGGTAATCAAGATGGTCCCCCAAAACCAAGAATTCATTTGTAGGTTGTCTTAGATAACAATAAACTTCGAAATCCTATTATAGATAAAAGTCACTCCACAATGTTGTATTTATATTTAAGCTTCAAAAAAATTCTCATTTTTTCATCTGCATGTTGAAATGCCACACAAAGTAGTGTACATTACTGAAGTACATTACTCAACCACACGTGTCCTGTTTCAATGAAATCAGAGTAAAAATTAAAATACTATATAATTGATTTCAGAAGGTAACTATTATATATGGAAGGATGTTTTAAAGTACTTCTTTGTCTTCTTCTTCTTCTTCTTCTTCTTCTCTCTTTTTTTTCTTTTTTTTTTTTTTGAATAAACATATTTTGCAACTCGAGTGTACACTTGACTAACTGACCACCTACACTGTGTCAAATAAAAAAACCAAAAAAAAACCAACATTGCATGGATATGGCCCTCAATTCTTTTTTGTGGTGTCAAAGTTAATTATTAGCAGTAAAAGAAGTCGATGCTGACGTCTACAGGTCTAAAAGCTTGCAGTGTTTGAATGTAGATATACAAAGAACATTTGATGCTTGTATAAATAAGGTCATGGTATTGACCATGGCAAATTACTCGTTTCTGAGCTTTAGCTGATGAATTGATTGAAGGACTCTGTGAAGTGATAGAAACAGGTGAGATACCTGGGACTGGAGATTATTGTGTACTCAAACCATACTAAATTTAAATTGGTCCAACAGATCAAAAAACCTTTCATCTGTTGCATGTTATGCACCTCATTCTGTTGCAAATAATCCTATTCTGACTTTGAAAGAATTGGCAAGTTTTTTTCGGACTTATGTTTTAATTTGACTTAGTCCACAAAAGTTTGGTAGTCACTGCTATTTAGTAATGTAAACCTTCACACATGCTTCAAGAGAAAAGAAAACCAAGGTATTACTTAACATTTGAGCTGTGCATTGTACATCTTTTGAAGTCCCCAAAGAAAAGAAAAAAACAGTTCCTGCACTCAAGTTGAGAACAGGCTAGTTGCACAAGAAGTTTGTCCTGGACATGCAACTCCTCAACAAAAGAAAAAAAGATAATCACTGGAAAAGCGTTTCCTGACGAAAGGGATATTTAGTCATAGGTTGTTGTTACTTTCTTCAATTGGAAAACATTAGGTAATTCTGCAATAACCTTATGCCAGTTGCACCATGAAATGAAGGCAACGGATCAAATCCTCAATTCTGGAATCTAGGCTTCAAGGGCTGATCCAGATCAGTGGCTTACCGCCAAATTAACTAGTACACATTCATACAGACACAAAAGGAACTAAAAATCATGACAAACTGACCAACCCTTCGCCCAAAGTTTCAGTATGGTTGTTTGAAAGTGCGACCGCATCAGTTACTAGCTAAAACTTTCATAGCAACTTACCTGATTCCTCAGAAATTCTTGTGTACCATCCTTGCACCACACTTTCCCAAGCCAACGCTATTCACAGAGTTAAAACAGTGATCCTCAAACTGTGAAACGACGAAGACATACAGCCCATGGCTACAACACAAAGAAAAGCACTGGGGAAGGCTGATGGCAATTGATGCTATGCTTGATTGACGAGCCCTAAACCCTAAACCTGGATGGCTCCCAACATGTTGATTAGAGTATCTTTGCCTCGGATTCACTCCGATCCAATCGGAGTTTGAAATACCGTCTACTTAGTCACAATTTATGGGACAATTGGAATAAACACAGATATGACAAAGACGAAGAGACCCATAGGGTCAAACATTCAATAAGAGCTGATTCAATCTGAGACTACACAAACTTGAGCATCCGCCGAAAGTTTCAACCTGAAAATTGACCCCTTCTGTAATGATCATCTCACACAGTGCTCCTTGGGCCACTATGTCCACATCCTGCTGCTCTCTCTTAAGCGATTGCGTAAGACCTTTAAATGATAACTCTCTACTGCGTAACACCCGAATTCGGGCTGTCTCCTCAAAAAGGTCTATCTTCCACTCGGCATCTGGAAATTTCATCGTCTCTCTCCCAATGCGCCCTTCGCCCTTCTGCTTAAACACATTGAGAACCTCTGCCTGACCTGCTGATTGACTCTATTTCACGTTAGGAACCATTCCCACAATAAGTGCCCTCGCTTCCTTCAACAAATGGCAAATGATATGGCGCTTCGAGACTTTGAGTTTTGTTGGTCGGATTGCCGTCTATATTGCAAATCCCTTATGGACCACATTAAATTCAGTAATAAGAGTTGTTGTGCTGACGACGAGATCAATGTCGGATTGAGAAACTGTCCCTACCTTAAGTGCACGATGTTGGCTTCACCCGAGGATAGCTGGGGAGGATGAGAATTTGGTTAACTGCTTCAGCAGTACCCTGAATATTCGCCTTCAGAGATAACCTCATCGCCCGCAACTCTACAGTGAGAACATCAGTCTCATCCCCAACAACGGCAGGAACAACTCGTAGCTTCAACTATCACATGCGCTTCTCCTTCAATCTGGTCTGTCAAGCCTGATCCTATTTCCTCGTTCTCTCCTCACTAGCTAAGATCTGAATGTAATCTCCGGCTTCTGGAAAACTCCGGATATTGTCTCGGTCCCCAGGTGTAGACACATCTTCCCGCACACTAATTCATCCTAACTGCGTCTCTGTAACAAAAATTGCATCAGGAACTAGGTTTTCCGAGCGTACAACTGGGACATAGCTTCAAGAGTCTGCGGCATCACTCCATCAACGGCATTACAAGAAAGACAACAATCTGCAAGAGAGGTCGCTCATCGTCTGACCACCACAAACGCTCTGTGATGCATCCAACCTCCCGACCTGCAAGGAATATTTGCCGGAAGGCATCCAGCAAAGTGTTATTCCATGATCCACGTGCCACAACACTATCACCACTGGTGACCGCGGCAACTCTGCACCAGCGCTCAGTTCATGATTCATCACTTTTGTCACACATCCCATTCTGATAACAGCAGCTCCGCCATATCAGTAGTGTCCACTTGCGATGCAAGCTCCCCAATCCCCGTCAATACAGTCCTGGTGGCGTCCACAGGACGCATCAAACAAGCCGAAAGCTACCCCACCGACATGCCATCAAAAATGTCAACATCCTCCTCTTCTTGAACAAGAGTAACGGCGGCTTTCGTTTCCAATTCTGTGTCTTATAGCCTCTTACCTTTCACCTACGGGTGTGTAATTGTGAGGGATTAGCTGAGTCTGGGTGCTGATTGTCCAAACCGAATGCAAGCGATCCACATTCAACCTGCGAAGCCCGGATTGAATTACTTCTCCAGACCAACTCCGCACCGATAATGCGATAATCTAACCTGCAAACAGAATGCCGGATTTCAGCCGTAGTATGCTGAGCCTAACCTGCAGTTTCTTGGTCACCGGCACGGCCAATCCATGCAACTTGTAAATGGTGGATCCAAAGACTGATGTGGAAGGCCTGAATGTCAAAATACAACGAGCTCACTCCAACACCCGGTTCAATTGCAAAGCGTGAACGACGACGGGACTACCCCACAACATGTCCCACCAGCACCTTGACGATGGATGAATTCCACGGAGAGTTCCGCAACTTTCGTTTTAGCTTTCTAAAGGTTGTATTAAAGAAGGCCCTAAGGGTTTATCCAGATCAGCAGAGCCTTGCACCACCCTAATTTGCAAGGCTCCACCTGGGAGGTTCGTGACTCACCGATGTTCCTTCGTAGTCGAGGATCTCTTTTCTGTCTCTGATCCCTGCTGAAGGAAGTGCCTGTCATATGTCTTGTGGGTCATTTCAAGCGATGGAGCCTGGAGATCCTTGTCGATGACTTTATAATTGAACCCAGCGAGCTTATCGTCAAGTTTCGTGATTGGTGGGAAGAGGGCAGGTGGGGAATGATAGGCGCATTGTGGAGAGATTGCGTGTGCGATATGCCTCTGCGGCTGTGCGACATCTTTGGAGTTCGTAATTGATGTTGGCGCTAGCTGGGTTGAGGTTTTACTGATGTTTGGCTGGGTTTTGGGCAGATGGACTTGGTATTATTGCCTGTCTCACATTGAAATGAGGGAATGTGCGTGCTCACTCTAAGTGCTGGGGATGCAGTGGGATGCTTTCGAAGTGGAGAGGTTGTCTATTCTGCATTCTTGGTCTGTGTTAGGGTTTGGACACTTGTTTTCCCCTCTTTGAACACACAAGCTACAGAATGCACTATTGAAGGGCTATTTTTGTCTAGATTAATTCCTTGCTCCTTGCACCCACTACCCTATTTCTCACATGATCGAAATGGGAAATGGGTGCCTACCTCTACGATCCTCTTTATTAAGTTGTGGTAGTTTTGAGACTACTACCCTTGCGACAACCGTAATGCGTTCTCGGCTTTGGTGGTGGAATGTGAGAATCCATCAGGCCCCGACATTGAACCTCCAAAATTGTGCGACTCCAGAATTATCTAATAGCCGTCGGTAAATACTCACCGTTTTCTTACGCTATGATAAACAATTTTTGAGCTGTTTAGTGGGATGTTATTATTTGAATGTAGTGATGATAGTGGCGAGAATTTATGTTTAGGGTCTGGACCAGTGGAGAACAGCAGAAGGGCTTGCAGTTGGAGGCGAAAGCATGTGAGTTGATTAGCTAGCTGTCTCTACATAACATCCTCTAAATCTTTGCATTATCTGGCAAGTTACGCTGGCTAATAAGTCTCTGCAGCTCCAAATCATTGATGCATATGCGGGGGAGTGTTTGCATCATGTTGCTTCATTAATTCTGCCCCCACCTTACAATGGTCTCCGTCTGAAGTGCCTCTGAATTTTTGCGGGGTCATGCAGTGGCTGTCAGAAATTTTAGTATGTGGAAGTAAATTATATAACACAAAATGTGAGCGAGGTAGAGTACCTGAATCACAAGAAGAAGCACTAGACATTCAGAGCAGTGTATGATATGGTCATCACTGTAGAATAAACAAGGGTGCTGGCGCAGTGGCAGGAGGAGTAGTAGCGCTAGGGAAATTTGATGCTCTGCATGTGGGACATCGTGCACTAGCTGAACACGCAGCTGAGATTGGCGCACCATTCTTGGTCTCATTTGCTGGAATGGCTGAAGTACTCGGTTGGGAGGTCCGGTATGATATTTCGTTTCCCCTTGTTTATTTGATCTTGATTTTATGGCTTCCTTTGCAAGTATGTTGTAGCCGCCTTCCCTACAAATTTTGTTACCAGCTAACTCTTCACCAGTGAGGACTTGCAGATTACCAGTAGTTGCCAGGTGTGATCGTGCTCGTGTAATGAGTCTGTGGGCGGAACATTGCGGTGACGTAGTTCCTCAAGAGTACATGCTTGAGTTTTCCAAAGTGCGTTCGTTAAGCCCAGAACAATTTGTGGAGAAGTTGGCTTCAGAATTGAAGGTGAAAGGAGTTGTGGCAGGTACAATTCATTGTAATGTCCAGTTTCCAATGGACGAAGCGAAGAAAGTGTCTTCGTAGTTGATTCAGTAGTTCAATGAGGAAGTTGTCTGTACTGAATTCACTGCATTTTGGTGCTTCCACGATAACACTGAAAATGCGTGGGATTGCAGGAGCAAACTATCGATTTGGATATAAGGCAGCAGGTGATGCATCGGACTTGGTGCGTCTCTGTCAAGAGTACGGCTTGCAATCTGCTATTGTAAACCCTATCATGGATGCTTCAGAAATGAGCTCTCCTGTTTTAGTTGATGATAGTAGTCGAGAAAAGGGACAAGTGTCGACCACTCGGGTTCGTAAAGCCCTAGCCAATGGAGACATGAAGCGAGTGGCAGAGCTTCTGGGGCGAAGACACAGATTAGTCATCCGACCGGATAAGTATGTGCGGCGTGACAACCTCATCAGTGTCCCAGCTGTAAATGCACTGAACCAACCTCCTAGAATAGGTTCTTATGAATGTAGCTTTGTACTCGAAGGAGCTGGTGCCACCTTGGACTCTGACTCCTTAGCAGGGAATGTAAGGCTAGAGGAGAGTTGCATCACTCTAGAATTGCAACAGCCCAGCCTTGTAGATACCATAACTCAGCAAAATCTGATTGTACTGGATTTTCTTGCATAGTTCCATTCTCTGTCGACAATTTCTTCAGTTACAGCAGTTGTACCCACGCGTTTCTTCAATTATTGCTATTCCGGGTTTCTCTACCAAAATTACAACCAGTGCCCTCTAAAATTTTGTTGGGCGAAAATATTTGGTTTCCTTGGAGTGTTGCTCGGTGAAGATTCTAATATTCTGCATGTTCTAGCTGCAGTCCAGGTAAATCTCTGTCGAGTTTTACCAACTTGCTGCGAGTTTTTTTAGCATCGGTTCAAAAAGTAGTATGTTTAGGATTCTGTATCACCAAAGTTAGTGCATATTAAGTTGACGTTGTTTCGACGTTAGGCATTACGTCTTGATAATTATAATTAAGGTGCCAATTTCCCCTTGGCCAATGTCAGAGTGACATTGAGAAATGAAAAGGTCAGTATTTTAAGTTCGTTATGTATCACCAAAGCAATAATGTTTTACATTCTAGGAATCATTATCACTTTCAAGCCTAACAACTCATATCAAGAATATCACAGAGAAACATTATTTAAGTGGTGCACACTATATTATATTTTTACATAAGTGATACAAGTGAATTTGTCTTTGACACTGGTTTGTTTGCTTATTCTAATCTTCTTAAATAATTTGCAGATTTTGTGAAAATTATTCAATAATTACTTTTTTTTGAAATTCTACAGTATAACCTAAAATAAAATACTAGTTACATATTTTTAAATATAATTCAAATACATACAATCCCATAGATATTGTGTAGTATGTTAATTTTTGTAGAGTTACTAATATGTAAATAAATTCGAATTGTAATAAAAAGTTTGAGGTTTAGTAAAGATAACAATTAGATATGTTATTTTTAATATATTATTATGTGTTGATATAAAAGAACACATGTTTGATTTATACTTGAAGATCTTGCCATGGCATGCTCTAACAACTTCAATATTAACTTTTGTACCTTTGACAATAAACAATATCGTCCTTCAAACTCTCTTAATACCTTTATGCTTACAAATTCTCATTTGATTGCTAAACATATTTTAAGAATAATTTCTTTATAATCCAATCTATGTCTTCAAAGAAAAATTCATCCATTAATGCATGTGAAAATGTCTTCCATAAACTCTCAAAATGCTCTATAATTGATCTTATTTATTCCCTTTTTACTAGTATAGTGGTAAGTTTAAATAACTAAAATCTTAATTAAATTCTAATCAAATTTATAGAAAATTTAAATTCTCAATAATTATTAATTTAATAATTGATCTTGATTCAAAATATATATAATTTTAAATCTATTAAATAAAAATAAGATTATAAAATTTGAGGAAAATTAAACTTAAATAGTAAGAGAATAAAACTCATAATTTGTTAGGATGTCAGTCTGCTTGCTTCTTCAATCTTTATTTCAATCTTCAAATATCAATAGCTCTTATTTTCACCTTTTACTCGCTTAATTTTTTTGCATTGCTGTTAGAAACTAAGTTAACTAATAGCACACAAACAAATATACCAATCAAATTGGTATATTGCTTAAAAACATATATTGCTCACTTTAAAATTTAAAATTTTGAGACCCTAATCCATTTGAATTTCAACAACCTTTGATCTAATTGTCAAATTCACCTTAAGTTTACAACATACATCTAACAAAACTACTTTTACAAATCCACAAATTTTCATTTATAGATCTATTACAAAATTCTTGTAGTTTTTCTAAAATATATATATATATATTATTTCACAAAACCTAAAGTCACCAAAATGTGGTTAACTTGAAACCAGAATATAAATAATTAAAAATGTATTTGTATGAATAAATATAATATTGAATATAACAAACAATAATTTTTTATATTAAAAATATTTTAAAAATGCTAAATATTAAACCATATATAATTTATGAATAAGACATCTTATTCTTTAGATTTAAGAACCTTGCTAAGGAACAAAAAAAAATTAATATTATTTTTATAATTCGAATTGCTATCAATGCAATGTAAAACAGTAGAAAATTAAACATCTAAAAGTAACTCAACAATTTAATAAAACAAAAACTATAGTCCAACATGTAATTAACTTAACATGAACATGTAAAGATAATTATTTTGGAAGACATACACAATAATTCCATAGATTGTTAACTAAATTTATACATAATTTCAAACATTTTCTTATATATATATATATATAAGTATATTAAATATTTATATATATCTTTTATATATAAGTATATATAAAAGTTTTATTCATACTTTTGTGGTGACAACTGTTGTAATTATATTTAATATATGAAAATTTAAAGAGATTGTTGAACAAGTACCTCTACCGTCTAATGATAATGAGTCAATGAGTCAATGTTGGTAATGGATGGATTCATGGCAATGGATCAACTCAGGAGGGGGGGGGGGGATTGTGAAAGTTGCTCATTTAAATATAAAGTATGAAGGGGACAGATCGAGAGTTCACACACACACACACACAATGATGAAAGAGAAGAGAAAGAAGGAAAGAAAGAAAGAATGGAAAGGAAAGGGAGGGGGAGGGGGGACCATGAACCTGGTATTCTTCTTCTTCTTCTTCTTCTTCTTCTATCCTTCCTTCCTTCCTTCCCTCCTCCCCCCCCCCCCACAACAGGCCGGCATTGACAATGAACCTCCTCTTGATGACAAATAGATGATGATGATGGGGTGGGACAAACTACTCACTCTATAGCCGTTTCCCACCCCATCGCCGCCCGCCTCAACGTAATTCCGTTCTGAGAGGAAAATCCATTATTAATCGATGAAGTAACTATTTATTTATCCATCCTGTCCAAAGGTTCCTCAGCCACAGTTGAAATTTCGTAGTTGGAAATTCAACCGTCATTCTTTTCAGTGCTAATAATCATTTGAATTTGTTCCATCATCCTCTGGTAGTTTTGAGGTCATTCCAGCACATCAATTCTAGTATTTTTCATTTCGACAAGTGAAATGGGCGTGGTCGCGGCTATGGGTGTTTCTCAGATGAGTGCTGTGAGGGCGGATGGATGACAAATGTATTTCCCGGGATGAATAGTCTCGTCATTCGTTCATTCGTTCGTTCGATTGGGGGTTGTGTCTCTCTCGCTCTCTCCTTTCGTCTCAGGGGGCAGCCCTGCACGGAAGTCTGTAGTAGTTTCTCTTCTTTTTTCGTGTTCTTCTGAAGAGGGTTTGCTTCTTTTCCGTCCAGTTCTCGCAAGCGTGACATGTTCTGTGCAATTTTGGTATATAATTTCATGCAAGAAACCTATCATTTTTTTGGGATTGTTACGTTCTTCTTAAAGAAAACTGAACCCAACGCCTAGTTTAAGCGGAGTCCAAGCACTCTCTGGACATCCGGTAAACGTTTCGTTTTATTGAACACTGCGTTGAAGGCTATCCTTAGCAACTCAATTTGATTTATTCCTGTTTGCATATGAAACGGGAAGCCTGAACTTATTAACAACGCTGTATTTCCTGTTCGTCCCGGTTTTTTATTTTTTCTTCTCTTGTTTTTGCAAAGCAATCAAAGTATTTCTTTCTCGTAATAAGGGTTAGCATTGTGCACTGACTGACTTGTACGAGTCTTTTAGCCGTGCAATTCTTCACATATACGTCTATTAGTAGTTACTTAAGACCACTTTGGTCTTTAACAGAGCTCTCCTCTTCCGAGCGGCTCTGAAATTCATTAAATTAACGTACTAGAGCCCTATTCTGTGCCTTCAGTGCTTGCGCTTCGATCTGCCTGGATTCGAAAGGCTTCTTTGCGGGCTGAAACAGGTATAGTCCACTATCAAGCTTGTAAGACTCCTGGTGCATGTTTCATTTACGACATAGACTTCTGCTCCCGCTAGAGATTATGGGAAATCTAAACTTACCTAAGCACTATTCAATTAACTTGCTATTGATGATTTGTTGAAAATCAATGTGTGCTGAAGCATTGATAATCATCATATTTAATTTCCTATCAAACAGTGCACAACATTGGTCTATGTCTGATCGAAGTGTCGAGATGCAATGAGTTTCATCCGTTTTATCATTAATTGTATTTGAAATGCCATGCACTAAGGGCACCGTATAAATTTATCTCACATATTGCGAAGGAGATTTTAGTTTTCTAGTAGGTTTGAATAGAACTCTTGCTGAGGACGGTCTTGCATTTGTAGAATCAGAGTCTGTTTGATCTATATAACTTCAGTTATCATTACGTCGTTTGGCGTTGCCCTCTTGATGTTCAATTTGAGGGTTGGAACAGCTTTTGGAGCTGAATCTGTCACATGCAGGTTAGTGCCAGATTCGGTCGGTTTAATTGTGGTAGAGCTTACGTAGTGGCCCCGTGACCTACTCTGATGTTTTCTCCAGCTTAGTGTTGTGTTTGGAGTGGGTTCATGTCTGGACTTACTGACAGAGAACGAGTTAATTACATGTCTTAGTATGCGACTCTGATGGTCCTTAATTCATTTTTTTGAAGATTTGGTGGTATGCCAGTTTTTGCTCTAGGGTTGGTCAAGTTGGTTTTTATGATGTAGTGTCGAGGTACGCTTCCTGCTTGACATACCTCTGTTTGTGGGCGAAGCTGTTGTTGTCCTATCTTTACCAGTCCTAAGGTGCTCCGGCAGCATTTGTGTCCTCCTTTATCTCGTTTCCTGAAAACAACTTTTCAAAAGTTATGAAATTTATGTTGTACCTTGCGTATCAAGCTCTCTCGTTCAGCTTCAGTCCAAGTCAGCTACTTTTGCACCAGTTTCAGAAGAATATTGATTTTCTTGAAATATTTGCGGTTGGTTTTTCCTTGGCAGGTCTGCTTGGGTTCTGTTAATCGCGCCAGCACATTATGGATTGTGCGTCCCTGGTCGTGTTTTTGTAGTACATAAGTGTCGCTTATCCTGGTGCCGTTCCACTTTGGTCTCATTCCCTACTTTGTTTCATTATGTACCTTAGTAGCACTTCTTTGATGATCAGCTTTCTTAACATACTCTTGCTGAATTATTGATTTGGTCATTTACTTTGCCTGCAGAGTTCTAGAAACGCGGCCCTCTTTCTTGATTTCAGCAAGAATGCTATTAGAGGGCTATTTTAAGGACAAATCTGGCACCACTTCACTTCAAACTTATTTCTCTTTCGCTTTACATGTTACGACGCTCCAGACCGAAGCTACTCTCGTCTAAGCGAACCATCCCATTCAGCTTAAAGTTTAGGAAAACGTCGTCCCACTCAGCTGGAAGATCTAGGACGAGAATGCTGATGGAGGTCTGGCCGAAGGATGATGAGAGCTCCATTACGCTCCGCCTGGCTCCTCCATTGCGCCTGGAGGCAGATGGTTCGGGTAATCCTATGGAAGTCTGGCTTAAGGAGGATGAAAGCAGCGACGTGACATTATTGTTGGTCCCGTTGCAAGCAGGGTGCTCGGATAGGTTTTCTCAGGAAGAACCAGGGAAGGGACCACCTTGTAAAAAATCGAGAAAACAAGGTCCAAGGAGTGATTCTCAAGAGCAAGGTCAGTCATCCAACAAAAAGTCAGACGAGGGAGCTACAGTTGCTACTCTACATGTGCACTCCGCATATCTTCGCAGGTAATGTGTATTCTTACAATATTTGTACATATGTGACGCTCTTGTTGCTTTGATCTTTGTGAATTAGATATATGGTGATTTAGGAGACATTGTTTGCCCAAAATTCCACATCTACATAATCGAAGAATTGATGGCTTGTTTCTTTCTGTGTTTTGTTGACATGTCCATAGACTTGTTTGTCCATCACGTTGATTTGTTCTTTAAGGTTGAAACTCTGTTTTTTGCTGCCGGTATTTCGTTGTGAAATCCGTGCCTACATGTTCAACTTTGTTCTTCAGAATGGAATCGTCTTTTTACTCGCTGAGATTGGTCCTTCGTTTGCAGGTGTCAATACTTTGATGCGTGTCTGGCCGAGCGCTGGTCAAATAATGATCTCCCTCTCAACCTTACTCTCGAAGCTCGTTGCCACCCTCGTGCATACACGCGATGTATGCAGCTATTGTATGGGCCAGAGATTTCCCCATCCTCCTTCGCGAATGTTGCCCATGCAATTGAAGTCCTCCCCGTGGCAGCGCAGCTTGTGTTTCAGGAATGTGTTGATGCTTGCATGCGTTATTTAGCTGTTATGCCATGGAATGCAGTAAGCTTGTCCGAAATTCGATCTGCTGTCTCTGCCTTTCAGATTGCTCCAACCCCTGATTTAGCTGCTCGACTTGGCACCTTTGGTACACTTGCAAAGGATAGCTCGTTGGATGCACTGAAACGTGTACTAGAGACTCTTCTGCTCAAGAGCATGCAAATGGATCAGCCAGACCTGATGGAGACCAAAGTGCTCGAGAACAGATCCGCGTTTGAAAGATTACTGAAGGTCTCAATGCGAGGTCCCACCGTGTCAAAGTCTGTGGCAGGTGTGGTGAAAGATGTAATGTATGAAGCACTTCGAAGAGCTGTTGAAGATTTTCGGCAACATTGCAGGATTCCTCATTTATACAAAGATGAAGAGTTTTCAATAGCCGGAAAAGGTCTCTGTTGGCTTTTAAATTCTCTTGTAGATTTTGGAATTGCGGAGGAGGCGGCTCGAACAATCTTCATAGACCGATCTTTTTCGCAAATGCTGTTTGGAATATGGCCTCATGTAAGTTCCGAGTACACCTACCCCGGAATCACTTTCATTCAAGACATATGCAACGTTCTCGTTCGCTATTTGGAAATTGTGGCCAAGGGAGAGATTTGGCTTGAAAATTCAGTTCGCCTTGCTTTGGTTGAAGCATGGCTACCGGAGCTTGTTGGAATCGACTTCTGTGTATATGAGGCCACTAAGAAAAGCGTGGACAAGGCCTTGAATGGGGTGCTGAAGACGCTCCCTCCCCTTGAACAGGAACCGTATCTTTCGAAATGGCCAACGCAGAGCTGGCCGAACCTGTCTGAATCTTTTGATGCATGGTGTAGCACAATGTGCTCAAACCTAGCCTTCCTTGAAAGCAATGATCAGCAGCAACATGCCTAAGCCTATGGTTTTTCACTACGTTCTTGGAGCTTACAATTTTCGTGTTCGTGTATATTTGGCGAAAATTAATAGATCCTTGTGAAATGGGTCGAAGATGGAACATGAACTCGTACATCAGTACAACCAAGGAAAGGCTCCAACATTAGTTAGATAGATGATGGCCAAAAATGACTCGAGTTTGTTGATTGCAGTACTATCCCGTCTGCTTACACCATGAACTCTTGTGGAGTCCATGCGCAAGCCTACTACTCGAATAATGTGTTTATAAGCACCTTCGCTGGACTGATGACTGCTCTGGTCTTCAGTTGCAGAGGATGCTTGGCGCTGTACCATGTTAGTGGACATTGCATCCTTTGAGTTACCTGGTCAGCTGTGACCTTGGCTGTGGCGATTCTTTTCTTTTTCTTCATAGTTGAATTAAGTTCAACTTCAGGTTGCTCTGCATTTGAGAAGATAAAAACCTGGTTAGGGTATATGCGGTGGTGGGCAACTAATTCGAGCATCACACTTTCTTTTGGACAATATAGCCTCTATGTTCATATCTCTTCGACAGGTTGTATATTACAGTAAGTTTTTCATACACGTAGCTGCAAAGTGAAACAGCACTCCAGAAAATTATGTTGGTCTTAAGATCAATACGTACGTACCTTGTCAATATTGCACGTACTGCTATTTAGACCTTGGATCACCAAGTCACTGCGACTTTATACCTGATCCTAGAACACTAGGCTCTAGATCCTGGTACATTTTTATGAAGTTTCGTGTGATCCTCCGAGACTCAGTCAATGCTATTGATCTTTTGATATGCATGGTTCTTGTTCTGTTATCAATTTGCCTGGTTCTTGGCGTGTGAAATGCTTAATGCATCTAGTCGTCTTTGCTGAAGTGTTCAACTGTGCTTCAAGGCGAACCTTGGAGGTCTATCCAGAATTGAGTGGTACCACCAAAATCTTCTGCTCGAAATTTTCTTCTGCTTTTTCGTTGAGACCGAGCTGGCTCATTGAGGCTTAATGGCATCACTAGTCATCATGAATGACATGATGGCATCATCTTGAAGAATTGGTAGAGCACTCACATTTCCATGGAATCCTTGCATATATTTGGCCCCAAAGTTGTAGAAAGATAGAATTCAATCCCCTACAACATTCACACAGGCCATGACAGACAAGCTCTCTCTCTCTCATTTGGTATAATGGAAAGGATGGTTCATGAGCCACTTCTTACTGTAAGTCTGGGCACCTCTTATTTGAGTTTTCTACGAGATTCACGTCATAATTGTGACATGCATTTGAGTCTTGTGTAAAAACTTGCAGCTGCTTCTATACACAAAACTCATGGTCTCAAGAGTTCGAGACCGTCAGTGAAGGGTTTAGGGTTCCTCTAGCCGTTCTCAGGGATGCGCTGAAAAATATCCTCTTCAAGTAACAGCCTGTGGAAGTGAATGTGTAGTTACATCTGGTATAAGTTATGGGGAATGACTAATTGTAACAGTGAGCACGGAACATAGCGGCACATGTGATACAGGCTTTGCAGGCATTTGATTGATCTACGCTAGGAGAGCCCTGTAGTGATTCGATAGATAGGTTACCAAATAGAATCTCATCATCGCTACAAGAACACTAACGTACACAACAAGCATATGAAATCATAGACGATACATTCCACACAGATTTCGAAGCCTCAAACTCTGCAAAGCTCACAGAATTGGGAGCTCTTTGATTCTGATGAACGTATTGAATTGTGCATTTCGATTCGGATCGCCAATCACACGACGTGAACCTCTTGAATGATCTATTTGAGGCCAATCCTAAAAGTACCAAGCCATAATAGATTGAACACTCGACTAATCTAACTGCAGTATAGTTAATGCAAACACAATCCGACTACACCAAATTCTCCAAATATCTCAGTTATACAAACTGGCACAACTAGTGAACTAGGTGTACCCCGCCAGATTCTTCTTGTGGCTGTTCCGACAGCAACTTTCTCTGCAACACAGCATTGAGTTTGCTTCAGACACTAAAATCATCCACTTCACATCGAAATGTGACACTCGAATAGCCGTGACAACCAACTGAGCCCCCTCGTCAAAACCCAAATCTCTACAGAGGCTCAAATACTGAGACCAACTGTAACCGTTCCCTGCCAAGATTGCATACGTAAATCGCCTTTATACTCATACTGCTCAGCCTCAGACCTAAAACATAATACATATCAAACAAATGTCAATACGTCACCGATACAAACCTTGGTAGCTCTAGCATGAAAGGAGGAATATCGACTCCTCAAAGGATCGAGGCATCAAAACTGCCGATACGATATATCAAGTACTTCTATCACTCTTGTGTGCTCTTTCCTACTGTCCCACGTTCATAGTTTCCACTTATACATGAGAAAGGCGCGTCGAGATTTCCTTCTCCACACACAACTCGGAGGAAGAGTACAGTAATGCACCTACGAATGATACAGATTGTTAATCCCGCCACAAACAGGTCAGTTTCCTTTGCAATCTAAAAGAAATTCGAAAAATGAAGAATGGCTCTACTCCCGACGAACCAAAATAACCTCATCTTGATCATCAATTTGTGTCCAAAACTGAAACTGATCTGCACGGATCGACTCCCACCCACATCGACAGTGAATTGAAACACCACAAACAAATTCTCTGCACACCCCTGTGACCCCTCAATATCTACTGTACTGATGTGAAGCCATTTCCTGTCACCCTCTTCATGCTCCTGGGCTTCTACCTTGTTTCACAAACGTGCACTTCCCTCAGAAATAACCTTCCACTGCACCACGATCACTCGCCTGGTTGTACCAGGCAAAATTGCATTTAGGCATCAACAGCTTCGACTCAGCTCCACTCCGTAGTAACCATCTTCGAGGACATCCAATATCAAGGAAAATACCTCGCCGCTCTCCGAGTCACCTTCTGGTAACACAAGCCGCAATCTGCCGCCACTTTCTCTAGCATACACCCTACGTATCTCCAGCTCCTCTAGTTTGCGACATTTATTTCTAAATGTCACAGTTGCTGCTGCTGGATAACCAGAGCCAAGCAATTCTTCTTCTCTTTTGCAGCCTCAATGGCTTGCTTGATTCTTTCTGCGGGTCCCAGCTTGATATGCAGCCGGTGCTTGCTTCGGAGCTGGTCCAATAACACCGTCATGTCTCTAGAGTTGATCAGAGTGTACTCATCCATGTCCTCCTGTAACATAGCATCGATGATGCTTGGTGGAACATTGTAACCCTCGAACAGAGCCATCAGAGCTGGGGCGTTTACGTGCTCTTGTTCCAAGTCTTCTAACGTTCTCTCCCTTTTTCTTCTTCCATGAATCGAAGAAATCTTGTGCTTAATCGCATCTGATGTTTGATTGGCTTCCCCACTCGCATTCAATAAGTAGTACATTCTGTCTCCTTCCCCCTCGGATGATCGAATACCGAGAGGTGTGTCACCGCTTTCCAGGCCTACAGGTGAATCATCCACTCCAAGCCCACCTCCACCACGTGTTTGCCTAAGATTAGCTCCAATTAACTTATCCATCATATCGTAAAATATCCACTTCGACGTCCCAGATCCCGACACTCGTCTCTTCTCCCTCTCCACTTTGTACCGTTTCTTCAAGTTATCAACCTGAATTTCATATGAAATATTAGATGCGACGAAGAGAAAATCGACTACCTAGATCATCATCATTATCAATAGCTAGTACAAGAAAGTGGTTGACTGTAATAACATCATGATACGATACGAGCGTAACAAAATTACACACCTTAATACGGCACTGCTCCTGTGTTTTTGGTATGCGGTCCACTACATTACCCTAAACCATGAACAGATAATATACATCAGTATAAGCGACATCCTCGAGGCAGTTCTGAACTTCTTGTGAGAAATAAGCATATTGTTCCACATGAAGGTATATATTCCCACATACATTCTACTTTCAGCGTTTGAAGGTGTTTAACGAACTTGTACTTAATAATATCTCCTCCAAGTCTTGGGATTGAGAAACAGATGATGAATGACGATATAAACGAGATCCTGTAATCAGAAAGCAGGATGAATCTTCCGTGAAAACAATAACCTGCTACAGTGAGTGAATCAGTTAACAGTTGACCAGGTCAATTGGAAAGACGCCTGATGATTCTTGATCTTAGCAATTTCTCAATGAGTGTCAAGGAACACTTGACTGAAACCAAGCAGATACTGGTCCTCAAGATGCGTCGACTAAATCGAGACTAAAAAATGTAATTGCTTGAAGTTTCAGGAACTATTAACTGCATTAATTGACCGTGATACAGCTACAGCTCAGACAAAGCCAAAAAACAAAGATAAGAACCCTCTACCACAGGTTCTGGAAAACCAATAATGACTAAAACTATAGTTCTCGTACAATATTGATCTTCCACAGGACATACAAAACTAAACATAGCAACATCTCAGCCACTTTTTGGTAACACTCATCATGAAATGTTTCCTTCCAAAAGTAAAATGCGCCAATTAAGAAAAGCAAAGACGTTAAGAAACTCAAGACGGGCTCAATACGAAAGCAACCCCAAGACTTCTACTGCAACCGTGTTTAAGACATGATCCGCATAGAAATTGGTCCGTCGAGATAACAACATCCCCCTAATTACTGAAAACTAAAGCACCCATAATTTACTTTTCAGAACCACTCAATCGCAGTGCTTTCCTGTAAGTTATTTTGAAGCTCTACCATCACTCACTCTCGCTGAGTAAACTCTAGAGCAATCAACTTCGAGCAACTCTAACCCCCTAAACCCCAAGTGTCAGCCTCATGGTGTTACCCTAAACCTTAAACCCTTAAACCAGCACAAAATCAACCACAAAAAAATAAAAAATAAGACACTATTACATAAAATCACAGGCGTAAAACATTTTACGATTAAAATCATCCAATACCGTCAGCGAGCCGCGGCTGTTCACCCTCGCCGCGACGTCAGCCCAAATCTTGCTCGTAAAGTTCCCTCGATCCAGAGCACGATATTTCTCCCCAAAAGCCTGCAACAAGACCACCGTGGCGCTCTCGCTCCACTCAATAGAGGGGTCTCGCGACGACCGACCACGAAGCCGCCCAACCTGCAACCCAACCTGCGGGTTATTCGCTAGCCCAACATCGCCCTCGCTCATCGGCCGCTCGCAGTCCTCCATCTTAGGATCAACTCGTAGCATTGCCGCGCTCAAGCCCTCAAGCTTCGCGTCCATATCATCTATGACGTCGTGTTTAATACTCCCCATTTCAACCACCCCGTACGCATGCGGCGCATGGTTATGAGGATTCTCATCTGCACGGTGGCCATACACCACAACGTGCGCTGGGTGTTGCCCCTTGCCCAGATGGTCGTCATGGACGTGGAGGCCAATGCCCTTCTCCTGGTACAAAATTCGTTGCTGCTCATGTTCTTGCTGACCCTGAAGCATCCGCAAGCCCTGCACCTGGGACGCTAGGTCCATACGGGCGCCCATCACATGGAGGTGGTCGTCACAGGGCATGGCGCTCATGGAGCCCGCTCCCCAGCCATCTCCAGGGCGTCGCAGCATCATCCTGCGAAACGAGACAATGAGAGAGACAATGAGAGAGACAATGAGAGAAAGCGTCACCCCCAACTTCACCCCCTCGTTGAGATGGGGCCAGCAAGCACGCAGGCTGGGTAATTGATTGACTGGCTGACGGACGGACGAACGGACGGACGGAAAGATTGCCTGACGTACCCAGAGCAAGGCAAGACAAGGCGAGGTGAGGCAGGGTGGCTGGCTCCCTTCTTCCTCCTCTTGCTGCTCCTCGTCCAAGTCCTCCCCCTCCCACTCCTGGCTCCTCTTTGCTTGTATCCAGGTGGTGCTGCCGATGCCGCACACACCCCTTCACCGCTCACACCACTCCCATCCTGCCCTGCCCTGCCCCTCCTCCTATCGAACGGCGAGAGAGACAGCGACACAGTCACTCTCTCACTCTCTCACTCTCACTCTCTCTCTCTCCCACGCAAGCACGCACGCACACGCACAACGAAAGGGGGCGATGGGCGGGGGGGGGGGTGAGAGCCAGGGTTCCCTCTCCTCCCCTTCACACTCCGGGTCCCTCCCCTGTCGCCCTGTCCCTCCGCTCCTTCGCACCCTCCCATCACGCTGGGGGCAAACCACCCCCACACTGTGCACTTTACTGGAAAAATATGTTCATCTAGTTTATGCCAAGAGGTAGATCTTAATATTCTATATTTGCTTGGAGCCCTATTGCAAAAGAGGCACGATTAAAGCCCACAAGCCTAAGTGTGGCAGGGAGTAATAGAAACGTGAGAATCATCTACCATTGACTTGTGCTATTGCTAACATTAGAAGGAATTTTCATCCTCATGTTGAATTTGGGGGAATCGTCTACCAAATTCCTTCCATTGCTACCTTGGCTAATGCAACACATTTTTCATCCAAATTATCACACAACATCAATCTCTACTTCTCCCATTTCTATCCATTGTTTATTATTCATCCTAACATTATTTATCCTTTTGTTCCATTCTACTTTCAAATCGATTAAGCTCAGAGAATTAGAGCCCTAAAATATATATTTTTAAGGTAATGAGGCCTCAAGATTTTACATTGAAAAATTGTATAATCATTTTTGCTAGATTTCAAAATATCTTTTGGTATTAAATATAAAGTATGCAAAAAAAATTGGTATAAAAAATTTCTTGTTTCAATTACAATTGAAAAACTTTCAACTTCTTATGAAAATCTAAATTTTAGGATAGAATAGAGCTTAATAGGAGCTAAGGGCACCAAGTCCTTTAACAGAGTAGATTAAGATAGGTAGAACCAGAGTAGTCATAGTAGATAGAATGAATAAATAAATATGAGAAGTTGAAATTCCATAAAAAAACACTAAGAACTGTAAGTTACTAAAATAAAAGAATTGGCTCAAATCAAGGTTCTATCTTGCACTAATGTAATACATGGCATCAAACCAAGTTTCAAGATGGTCAAACAATGGAGGATCAATTTGTAGCATGGAACACCAAAACAAGGACATGCAGTTATTACAATAAATGGTTGAACTTGAATTAAAAAGGACAATGGATTGGGGGAGGCATGACCCAGGTCTTTTCCATCTCCTCACCCAAATGGTTACCCAGATCATTATCTGATGGAATACCTTAAACATACAACCTCTACTTGAGTTACATGATCATCAACACACAGCATCATCCAGCCAGAAAGTAATCTGTGTAGAGGTCAGAGGGGCTGCCAAAGAGGATTAAGAATGTCAAAAGGACTTGACAAGTACAAAAGATCTTGATCCTACAAGTGCAAAAAGATCCGACTTGATAAGATGCAAAAATAGATTAGATGCCATTTTAAAGTTGTTATAGTCAAATTAGTTGTGCAGTTTAGAAATTATGGTAATAATAGAGTCAAGTCAAGAGTCTGAAATTGTTAATAAGTCTGAGTGGCAGCATGGAAGTGTGTGTGATTTATGCCAAAAAGATGTGAATATAAAACTCAAGATCTGCAACCTTTGCAATGTTGGATTTTTTTGGATACATTGTGTCATGACCCAAGTGACCAAATATGTAGGTTTTGGTGAAACATGGTGTTGCAATCATGGTGCTCAATGTAATGTATTCTTCTTCCTTCACTTGTCAGCTTTCACCTTTCTACTGAAGCTTAATGGGAATGAACAATCAGGTGTTTGACTGAGACGTGAGAGGTGTAACCTCAAGTTCACCCTGTTGAGGTAATGAATAATTGTGTCATATTTTAAAATAATTTTAACTTGAATAAAATAATTTAATCATCAAAATTTTAAACATATATACATATAATTGTATTCTATGATATAAATAATACTTAAAAAAATAAACTTATGTCTTAAAAACATGGCTATTACTTTCTATCTAGTTATTTGATTTAATAACCATGTTTTTTTATTTTAAAGCTAGAAGTAAAGAATATATTAGTTTAATATCTTAAAATATGCATTGTTATTGTACTAAGTGTTATCATGTAAACCTATGATACCTATGTTAAAAATTCTAATCTTATAAAGATTATTCTACAAAATACTTTATAGTTCTTTGAAACTTTTAAAAACAATTTATGAAGGTTTTTTGTATTCAATTGTTACCTTTCAAAAAAAAAACTAATAATAATAAATATAATATAATAAAAATTAATTTACCTTATTATCTTATAGATAGTATATTATATTTAAAAATAAAATAAAATAAAATAAAATAAATTTCAAAGTATGCCAATTCCAAGGATTAGGAATTAATTTGTATAACATTGAGGTAGCCCAATTTTAGATAGGACAAGTTTCATGAAAATATCAAAATTTGTAGAGAATTGATTTTAGCTTTTAGAAATAATATAAAGCACGGTGAATATTAATATGAAGGCCAATTTTGTTCCTCTAAGAATTAATCAAGATGTCTTTGTGGTATATAAGCCAAATGAACATATCTTTCTTATGGAAATGGAATTGGACCAATATTTTGACTAATTACAGAAAAAATCTTAATCCAGGAATACATCCTGTTTCCTTAGTACAAGGTTTGTAGAGGAAATATTACTTTGAATTAACTTCCTAGTAAGTTTTGCAAAATATATTATAAGTTCTTCACAAGTAACTTATGAATAAGGAATAAGATCAAAGGTCAAATCACTGATTGGACTGTAGAAGAATTCTACACAAAGTGCTTATTTTTTTTTGTAGGCTTTGATTTTGGAACCAATCTAACAATTTTGTAAAATCTTGCCACTTTGTTTTCATTGTCTACTAAAAATACGGTTTTCTTATTCTTAAGAGATAATTTCATCAAAATAAATCTAATAGAAATAGATTGTTCTATGTTATTGTGCTCTATTTGAGATTTGGGGTAAGAGACCAAACTACACTCTCTAAAACATTAAATACTTGTAGTTAATACAGATTTTTTAATAACTACATTCAATATCAGAATGAATGTATTGATATTTGTATATTCTGATATTGTAGACATTAAATTCTGATATTGTATTCAATACTTGTTTCAATATCCATTAAGACCTTTTTTAATAATTCTATTATATCATAATTGGTAGATTCAAAATTCAAGTTTCCATACTTAGTGGTACACTTTTGAAAACATTAGCTTACTACATACCTCTTTTTACTTTATACTATATTAAAAGCTCAACGCTTTTAAAGAAGATTTATTCTTCACTAAACATTGGACATATAAAAGATTTATATTCTTGTCTTTTGAAGAAGGCTTCTAGGTATTTAGACCCTTTAAGCACAAATAAAATACTTTTATTGTAGAAGTTTTATGAAAAACAATTGTTTAAAAATTAATGCAAAAACATCATCTTTCTTATGAAGCATTAAATTTTTGAATAAAGCAAATCTTAGAAGAAAGTATATATAATTTGTTTGTTTTTTGTTTGTTTTTTGTTTTTTGTTAAATTTTAAAAATTGAAATTTCTACAAACAATAAAATATTATTGTTAATATATAGTATTTACTAGTTATACTTAATCTTATAAAAAAATCATCTACTCATGTAAAAATATAAATAAATATGAAATGCAAAAGTTCAATTAACCATTAACCTATATAGTTTTGATTTGTCATATTATATTTTATACACCTCTTATGGTTCATGTTTTTCAATGAAGTTGAGTCCTCATATATAACTATTTGCAATCTTGGAATGTAATTAAATAATATCATTTAAACCATAGGAGAAAAGATTGTGTTATTGTTTATCAACTTTTCTCTAAAATTCTAATCATTTTAGAAATTTGAAATTACAATTAGAACTATTGAAGTACATTCAACCTTTACTGATTATCATGTGAATTCAGAGAATATTAAAACTTTAAACTTCACTAAATTAAACAAGCGAATAAAAAATTAGTAAAATCAATAACATTATCATTAATATTAAAATATTTAAACAAACTTTCCTACATAAAAACAAACCTTTCAATTTTTTTCCGCTTGTTACATTCCCAGGAACCATGACATTACACGTTCGCTATACACGTGAATCCCAGACTTTTATTTGCATTTTTGTACATTTTTCCCTCCAATACAACCTTCGGTACTCTCTTTTGAACATCAGAATAAAAATTTGATGACGACCTTTCATTGTAGGTTTTTGACATTAACATGAGTGCCTGAACATGGAATGTCCGTAAACCACAATTACCCTACCTTCTTCCAGTAGGTCCAACTCAAAATCCACATCCTCTGGGGGTAACTTGAGCTTACAATGACCTAAAACATGATAACTACAACTATTCAACTGTATCTGCCTAGCGTCTGTAAAATCAAACACAAGTACTTCTAGACTAATAACCTTTCATCCATGGCGAAGAGAAGCTATGAGCAATGAAAACACTATTGCAGACCAAACCCGGTGGAATTCGCAATCGCGAGCTTGAGTCTGTTTTCTAGTTTGGATTTAGAGCTATAATTGGGTACCATCAGAACATTGAAGCAAGTGTGCGCAGTGGGTAACCTGCAGCCACGATGTCAGAGTTAAAAAAGATGAGTACCAGTAATATCCAGAGAACCAAGACTTACAAGTTCATACCACAGAAACATAAATATTTTATAAACCTTTAAAATCAACTGAAGGTTCTATAAGTACCTATCAGTATCATCACCATTACGTGTGATGATGAACTTCAAGGTGGCGAGGCCTCCAACTGGTGCACGGTCATTCCCTGTCGTGAAAAAAAGAAGTTGCTTTTTCTCATCCAAAGACATGCTTTTTACCTACCAGCACAAACAAATAGGTCAATTGCATTAGTTTCAACTCCTCGTTTGCTCATAGCATACTAGGATAAGTCATTACTAACGATCCGTTTGACCTAAAAAATGGTCTCTCTCCTCAAAACCCTTGATGTCAGATGAAACAATAGATTTCACCACATAGCTTGGTGCCACTCACCACCTCCCAAAACCATTTGATAACTTGGCTATCCTTCGTGTAGCCGTTCTCGTATTTAGTCACACGCTCAAGTGCCTGAAAGTCCATGAATCAGTGAATCAGTTTATGCAGATAATCTGCTAAGGAACAACATAAACGTATCTAGTTTCATAGCAATTCAATGCAAGAAATCAAGATGGCACTCACATCAAAGTCAAAGTGAGGTAGTCCACAGATAAGAAGCTCCAGTTCTTCGTGACGGAAAAGACTTAATGCTGGTCCTATACAAACCTGCAAAAACACCTTATGTAAACCAATAATTTTAACTAGTCAAAAATGCAAAGTATGAAGTTCAGAACATTGATTTCCTATGAAAAATTACAAAGGATAGAAAATGGACCTGATAGAAACCTTCCAAGAAGGCGTCAAACTGTTCTCGAATTGAATCTTCCAGTAAATATTTGACATAGAGGCTGACATATCTGACATAAGTAACACCAAACACAGTGAAAAGATGTGCCAGAGTTGCCATCGCAAGAAAGTAGCGATCAAGTGATCGAAAAATCCAACATAGATCTAAGACGTGAGTAATTTTTGATGGAAATGTACGCATACGCACTACGCATCCTACACAAAGAGAACAACCACATAAATTTCGACATATCAAAATTAACATTTCAGTACCTTTCTCTGTTATCATTAGTTACAGTTATGTTTCCACCGTCTTCAACAAGATCATAAATCTTCATTTCACCGAAATATTCATATGTGATCTGTAGTATGAACATGTCAGTCATTACTCTTGCTAAATGAAATCTCAATATTACCCCGGATGATGCCATTTGAAAATCAATTTGAATATCGAAATAAAGTGATTTGATAATTTCCATTCTACAGAAAACATCCACGGGTACCTGAAAATTTTGACAAAAAGTGGATTCAACATCTCCTTGATATACGAATAGCTCTTCAAGCCCCTTTGCTATCTGAGGTTCCAAGTCCCTAAGATCCTTGAGGGAGACACTTTCTCTTAAGAGCTTCTTGTAAACCGCCTGAAATCTCACCACAGGGCAGATGTATCAGTTTTCAAAATTGAACAACTACATGACTAGGACTAGTACCCAACTATGTGAACTAAGGCTTTTCGAAATACTTCAGAATCGAATTCTGCCAAAAAGATCATGACTCATTACGTACAACATTACAAGATTGTCTAAATTCATCACATTGAACACAGAACCAGTCGTGTAAATTACCTATAAAAGGACAAGGTCCATACCTTCGGGAAGTGAATATCCAGAATGACTCCGTTATAAATAGCTAGGCCTAGAATGTTCCCCACCTGCCTTATCACCATTCCTTTCAGCTTCACCTATCAAATGTGACTAAAACATTTTCTGCAGCCAATTGACTAAAAAATAATACAAGTGTTAATACTTGTAGCAATGAGCATATGCAAGAGCTGAGTCAAAGTATACTTACCAGTCTAAACTCATGTTTAGTTTCCATTGAATCGCGATTGAACCAAAAATGACGAGTATCTTCATTATATGTGAACATTCCTACAAAATCGCACAACATACGAAAGTCGTGTAAAGAACCACTTCATAACTACAAACTCAGAGTCTGATATAGATAGTGGATGGTTAGTGCCGTGTTAACACCAGGTCTTAAACAGCATCAAATGAACCATCCAAATCTATTAAGAATAATTTTATTAAGTCTTACCATAACCAACGTTAAAGAGTTCTCGAATCAGCAGCTGAAAAAATTCCTTGGTAACGCCTCCTTCGTCTACACCAGCTTCTCCCTCAAATATAACCTGGGACATTCTTGAAAAGTGTATTATGCGTTTTAACTCGTGACAAACGGCAACGCCACAGCCTACTTAAACCCATCTACTCCTGAATTTTCAAGATGCACCTGTGCCGGGGCACCACCAAAATTCCTAAACAAGATTACTTCGAACAAGAATAAATGAAACAGATGGAGGAATAGAAGCAGACACCTTCAGAGGCTTCTTCAAGTCATCCTCATATTCTAATTGCCGCAAAGTGTCTGCAACCAAGGAGCTGCGGCGGACCTACAAAATTGACAGAAATTACAACGTGATCTGAAGTCCACACTAATCACAATAAATGGGTAGTGGTTCCGAAAGGATTGGAAGGTTACATACAGTGAGGATTAGAAACGGGTTCTGCAGCTCTGCACTAAACAGCTGCGTCATGACGGAAAGTCGCAACTGATTGGTCTTCTGTATATTTGCCTCCAACTGAAATTACAAAGAAAAAGTTAATTTGTTTTCCTCGTTGAAGCTAAAGTATAAACTTCAACCATCGTATCAATACTGAATACAATTAGCAACATATTCTAGTATGGCCTCACCTGTAGAATTTTGCTCTTCGCAACAGGAGTCAATATAAATGGAAACTGCACTTGCACATAACTGATGTCACTAGCTTTGATCGCGATCCAAACATAATAAAAATTCCAGAACCCATAATATCATCAAATGCTTACTGCAACGCAAATCTCCTACCCTCTCCGACAAAAGAAATCTTGATCTAGATAGTTTCTTCTCATTTAAGGCAAAATTGCACATCTCCCAAACCAAAGCAACAGAAATACCTGGCAAAATGCAACTATCGGTACATCATTATTAGCGAATTTAACATTGCTCCAACGGTAGTAATCATCCTGAGTGAACCAAACAAGAATTAAATCTCAATGTATCCTGATCTACTTCACAAAATCACTTCAATGCGTAGGATTTTTAATTGACGTGGAACATACTTATGAAGGAACTTTAATGTCTAATCCAATTAGAGTAGATTAGAGGTAGTCCATAATGCATGCAGCTATTCTGGCACCTATGCAAAACCATGACAAAGAAATAGAAGTGTCCACTAACACAAATTAGGATATACGGCTCAGAAAACAAAGAAAAAACCTCAAAAGCGATAAAAAAGAAAAAAAAGAAAAAAGCAAACGTATTCACAGAAATTTTCATTCGTCAAGGATACCGCTGTAACCATCACAAATACCTACTTACCTCTAAACTCGCGTGATTGCTAATTGAAGTGTTATAAAAGTCAGAATATGGAACCAAGACTTCCTTGCTATCAGCTTCATATAGTATCGAGAGCGCCTACAACCAAAAACCAAAAAACAATTTGCGCTTTAATGCATCACTATTGTACAAAATTAAGATGAGCATAACCTAGAAAAATGAAACGACTCAGGGATCAGCCAAAGAAGTACCACACAAACTCTTGGTGAATTACCTTAAGAGAGCCTAGTACGTCTGAATGAATGCCTTCACGACTGCTCGATAATTGGGTTTCTCTGGCAGGACAAAACAGAAAAAATCGCTGAACTAACTCTCTGCTTCTTTTTTTAAATTGAGTTGAAAATTATGTAACAGACGATGTAGTAACTGTTCTGATGATGTTCTGATGATGTTCTGATGATGTTCTGATGATGTTCTGATGATTCCCTGTACAAGCCTTTCTATGGAGGTTTATTACATCCTTTAGTCGGTGAAAGATATACGTCAAAATACCATCCACATCAGCAAAATGGAAAATCGCTGCAATGTGCATAGGTTTCCTCACCTGTTTGAAATAAATCTATGAATACCCCGCACAAAACGCCCTCCAAAAATGTCTTTTGGATAAGTTCGTAACCACTTACACATTTTCTGTAAGGGAGAGGTAATAATCACACCATTAGATACAGGAGAAGCTTGTGCAGACGACCACCTCAAGAAGGTGGCTGAATTTGAAAATAGAAAATTGAACCTAGAACATCTTTTTGCTAACATAGGTAAAGCACTTTTAAAATGTCTGACGTAAGTTCTTCCATATCCCACTTGTCAAATGCTCAAGTACCACATGTGGTTCATTTCTAGGTTAAGAATGGTCAATCTTACTCTTTTAGCAGAAGCAGAGATCCGGTGAAAGATCGAAAACAAATGGACCGATATCATATCCCCAGGACTGTAGAAGAACATAAGGAATGAACCAATCAGACGGACAAAAATCGTACAAATCAATAAGCAATTAAATATACGTCCTATGCCCAGAAGCTATATGCATGGCACTAGATATTATAGAGACGCACTTATTCCTGTAGCAATCAATGAGGCCGTGCAGAAAAATACTCACCCGTTCTCTCCAATGAGAGGACATTGTAGACCAATGAGCAGTACCTGCGACCATTTTAAAATCAGCGGAGCATACTCTAAACTCATGCATCCAACTGCAACACAAGATGGATACCAGTTCAACAACCTAATTCACATGGGGACATAAGTAATTGTCAGCTGTGAACAGTTACTGTTGTCCTGCATGAGCAACAGTGATTCAGCACATGACAAGTGTAAGATGAATGAAGCACGAACTTTGCGATTAGTAGCAATAGCAGCAAGCTCTGCAATTGATTACCTTTTCCCACAATGATTCTGGCACTTCATCCATGTACTTCTCTATACCCTGGAATAAGCGTACCATAGCCTCACCAAGCTTTCTCACGATCTGCTCAATCAAGGAGAAACTTGTCATGGAAAGACTCTAAACATTCACGACCCAAGTATTTAACATGATACTTGCATGTAAATTAGCACAAACGACATAATACTAAGCCGAGTGAAGCTAACTCTTCTTTCTAAACCCAAAAATAATGGTCAACAATGTCTGCAATTCTGGTGACAGAAACTAAAACACATGGAAAACTTAAAAGCTGCTACCTCTGGATTTAAAAGCTGCAAGACACCGTGGTAGATAGCTTGCACGAGTTCCAAGTCTAGACCTGGACCTTCGCTATCTTCGCCTGTACACCATGCAAAAAATCCTTTAAGAGAAAGGGAATGTACCTCTAAAAACTTGAGTTTTCGAGCAAGAAAACATGGTGCTAATACATATAAAACAAGGTTCACCATAAGGGATCCATAAAAGACAACTAAATTCCCGTTGGAAACACCATCCTCGCTGCCTTCCACAACTTTCATTTGCGCAACAATTACATAGCATATGATAATGCTGGAATAAATTGTACCTCTACTATGAACACGATCAATGATCTGATTTTCATCTCCATTAATATTTCTTGAGATTTTTTGTGTAAATACCACAATGAGGAATCTGACGGAAGAGAAGATGTCCTCCAGGGCATGAGCTAAAACTGGAATCGCTCGTGAAGAGGCTGCTACATTCTACACAATGTTATGCGCAGAGGGTCATACAGATGTATAATACCATTACCTTGCTTAGAAAAAACAAGACCTCAGAAATGAAAAGTATTCAGTATTAACTTTAACTATACGAAGTTCATTGTCAACTCAGAATGCTCCAGGTGAGGGTTTCCCTAGAGGATATTGGGTTCAGGGCAGGCAGAAGTCCAACTATCGGTAGAGTGACAATATAAAGAGCTCTACCGAACAAACCAAAAGGTAAGAAAGAGGACTTTACGCAGTACAAGCCTGCAACGAAAAAGATTCAAAGTTGCAGCTGAATGATAGGCACGTTAATAGAAAGAGACTCACTAAATTTTTGTGAAAACGAAAGAACCAAGGAGTTCACCTGAACAATCTGCAAGAGTGATGGCAATTTCATTGGCCTAAGCCCGCTGCCATGTCTGTTGTCCACGTCCTTTCCCCCAGGTAAACATGGCTTGGTTGCAGATCCCTCAACCAAACTACTTTCACTGGATGTATCAAGTAGTTGTCTGCGAGAAACAAATAGCATCACCAATGTATATGGCGCTATATACATGGAATCTCAAGTCAATTCAAATTGAAAAGGAAATCAAGATGTGTAAAACTGAAGCGCACCTCTCAATTCCTAAATGTCCCTGTTGGTGTTCCATTATGTGTTCACAAACAACCATCGTGTGTTCCCCACCTGCCACTGCAAAGAGTGGTCGTTTGCCATCCTCAACGCTGAAAAGCAACTTTGGAGAGAATTGAATTTCGCTGCAGATTGAAGTGCTATTCAAGTAAGTGTTATGCATTAGAGAGTGAGTAAGTTGCAACTAGTGTTCATTAGGACACATTCACAACGACAAAGAGAAACGCATATGTGACCATAAGTCGAGAAGTCACACCTGTCACATGTTCCAAGTTGCCTTTGCTCACAATCACCCCAACCATACACTTCTCCTCGGTCTAACAACACAACAGTATGACGAGCACCCGCCGATACTTGTACCAGAACCCTTCCTTCAAGTTGGTGTACTTGTTTCGGGCTTAGGACATCTTCTTTGGTACCATGGCCGGTTTGCCCCCATAAACCATGTCCCCACTGACAACAATAGTTACATGAAGTATGATTTCTATTTGGCACACAAGTACATATTTCACACAAAAACATGTAAAAACAAAGAAAGTTAGAGCGAAGCTTACGCTGAACAGCCGACCATCACTAGTGATGGCCAGTGTGTGATCCCCTCCGCATGCGATTTGAATCACATCATGATCTACCAATGCTTTCACTGCCACAGGAAGTTTTATGTTCTGAGTGCTACCGTGTCCAAGTTGACCATACTTTCCTCGACCCCATGTGAACACCTGAAGGGTTACATCAAAACATAAACAAAGGCACATTAGTAAAATTGTTAATAAATCAGAGTTAATTTCAAAAAACTATATTATATTATTAGCAACTGGAAATTAGTAAAGATGAAAGAAAGATCTTCCACTTACCTTCCCATCTACAGTCAAAGCCGCACTGTGGTTCTCACCACAAGCAATCTGCAAACTCGATTCCCAAAAATAAGAAGCCATGAAGAAACGTTTGCAGGCATTACACAAGCAGCATGCACAGCTGGCCAACCAACACAGTCGTTAGTCTGCACTAAATTCAGGTCAAGCTTAGAATCAAAGATCAGCATAACCTCTAACACCAGGTTTTCCGCACGTCAAATTATTACCTGAGTGACACCCAGACCCCATAGGCTCTTCACAAGCGAGGGTGTACTACAACCATCCAAGTTCCCATGTCCCAAAGCACCAGAACTGCCGTCTCCGAAGGAATAGACATCCCCGCTACCTGTTTGACAATGTGGTCAGCAAGCCTTTTAAGACGCAAAGTTATGAAAAACTTCTAGAGGGTAGAAAAGCACCTGTAAGAGCTAGAGTGTGGTAACCACCAGCTGCCACACGAGAAAAGTGCAGATCGCGTGATCCTTTCACGATACGAGGCTGTACCCCATCAACAATATTTCCTGAATCGAATCCCAGTTGTCCATATTCATCTCCTCCCCAGGACGCTAGCGCACCAGTCTCTTTGTGACAAGAAAAAAAATAACAACAAAATTAATCAGAATGAAGGTTTGGTAAAAGACCACAGAGCCCTGTACCACCACATCAATTCCGTAAAAACAACGCTTTCTAGAATGGAAGCACAATTCTGCAATGAACTATGTCATAGAGCTAAAGAATCCGCAGAGGAATTCTATCGGCCCATTTCCTCGAACTTCTTCGTAAAAATCCAAATTTTGGATATGTATTCTGAGCAATAGCATGGTTTCCTATGTACAATTGGCTAAACAAGACAGGGACGTGAGATCAATCGAGATGGATCCTCAACATCACGATAAGAGACTCGGAATAGGATTAATGACACCAATCGAACACATACTATACTAAAACTTCACTTCACACTAGGCCAAAAGCGTTCAATCGAACCTGTGACGGCTACAGTATGCTTAAATCCACACGCTATGTGCGTCACCATGTGCGTGTCTAGGGCGGCAACCCGTATGGGGACCACCTGTTCCTCCATACCTCGAACTCCCAATTGACCTGCATCATTGCTCCCGGTCGTATAAACCTCCCCCTCATCTGGTTCACACAGAACACCAATGCGAACTAAATAACCGTAGAAAATCTAACATCTTTCGTAATGCTGGTCTCTATCATCAGCGTCACAGAACATTACAAGCTACTAAAGATCAAAATTACTGTAAAGTTCAAGGGATACTACCGAACTTCACCAGTAAGAAATGCGGTATGGTAATCTGAAGCTGCAATATGTACAATGTCCTTGCCGACCAAGGTTGATAGAGAAGTAGGGGTAGGGTGATCAGAGTAATCTCCGATACCCAACTGTCCTAGATCTCCTCGCCCCAATGCGTACACTGCTACACCACAAACCCATATCCGTAAAAATATATATCAAAACTTTCCACTATTATAACTTGGTCCACTCAGAAGCCGTATATTATTTCAGAAGCCGTATATTATTTCAGAAGCACCAGATAAGTCAGATTAAATTTAGATTTCAATCGCCAGACATTTCTTATCGCGAAGCCTACAGAACGCAGGGTCCCCGGTCTAAACCATGTCACTACTCATCTCACCTAGTGGACACGAAAATGTTCGCAATTGTAACCCAAATCTCATACAAAATTTGAATAGGTATTTGAATACTGAAAACCAAATCAGGCAGAAAGGATATATGCACGAGATTCATGAATTACATCTCCATCCCCAAAAAACAGCATTGCATCACAAGTAGCCAACAATTCACAATACTAGTTGTTTGGGAGACGTGTTTCCGGACGCTGTTACCACCCAAACAGTGTCGCATAACTCCCAACGAAGTTCTTACCCAATATATCTCATTACTACCAACCTACAACCCGAATCCCAAACCGATCTTTCCACTTAGAATCGTGAAACCTAAATTTTCCACTTCTCAAGCCGCAAAGCCAACCACCGGGGTTATGACTCAAAAAACAAAATTCACACATACCTCACACTCCACCAAATTCTCATAAGATACACAGCAAAATTCAACAACACCACGAAATTCAAACAAACTAGTTTTGACTACAGTACCGCAAATAGATGGGTGGCCCTGCATGGCTGAAACGAACAAACAATGTCCAACCCACTACCGTCGAAGGAGAAACGAGAAAATTCAGAGCTTAGAGGGAGAAAGTCGAGGAGGAGCAGGAGCAGGAGCCTAGCGCAGGGACGGTACGAGGTGGCAGGAGATCCATATACACAAATATACTGCCTGCAATAGATTCAAAAGGGACCCAGAAAATAGGATGATTAGCGGCAGTGCAGGACAGCACAGATGGCCCGATGAATCTAGAAGACAACGCGAGCAGCCTTGAATGCCGAGACCGATTGGAGAGACGAGGCGACGCAACGAGGAAAACCCCATCGCCGAGGAGGACGAGGTCGAGGACGAGGACGACTCACTCCTCCGCCATGCTTCTCGGCCTCTGCCACCCCCCCCACCTGGCTATGTTTATCCTCTTCATATTCTCCTCACTTTCTCTCACCAACTTCATCGTTAATTTCTCGTTTCTGACACAGACTGTATCACCCACTCATGGCATTCTTGATACAATAGTTACTGTTACTAAATTATGTGGTAATAAAGTTTTCATTTTATCTTCATTATAGCACATAAAAGGTGTGCACTTTTGCTGGAACTTGAAAGAAAGAGATGGCAAGACTAAGTAGCTATGCTCCCATTTCCCTTGGAATTCATACTGGCGGATAAATCCAAAATCTCCCATTTTGACTACAGTAGATTGCCCAAGCCTAGGGAAACATGTGATGTGCGCATTGATTACATATAAATTCCGTTACCTTGATTGGATGTTGTGTATGAAAGGATGCTACAGCCCACTATTGCGGAGGAAGCGAGAGCCTCGAGGCACATATTTGGAATGGAGTAGCAGATGATGTAGTTGTAATTAGTTCGTAAAAGGCTGTTTTAAAATTTGCCTTAATCCTAGGTTCGAAGGATGGAAAACCCCCAATCCGATTTCAAATTCGGCCGGTACTTCTCTTCACCAGCTTCCACATTAATCTTCTTGGAGATTACATCATTACGACCACTTGCACTGCTCCAGAATCGTGTAATCGTAGGGAAAGTACTCCAGCTCGTATCACAGGATCAGTTACAATTAATCCCATGACGAAAACAATTCATGGCATGGGCAATTGCGAAGCTGTTGAGCTGTCATGTATTATAACCGCGTGCAGTAGCTTCATTCAGGAATCACAACCAGGGTTGTTACACCCTTCCCCCAGCTTTAAAAAAGGGTGAGAACCAACGGAACGTATTTTATGAAAGGCGCTTGTGGTTCTCTCTCTTCCCAAGGAGAGCAAGGATCGGAAAGAGAGAGACAGAACGCGGCAGTGCCACGAATTCAAGTCTACATTGTGAGCCACAAGTGTATTCTGTTCGGTAGCTGGGTCCAATTTCGAGTCTTCTCTTTACTCACGAGTACTGTGAGCACATGAATTGACTACGCATTTACTTTAGAATCCGCAATGCTAAGAAGATGGTACCGTGATTGATCAGATTTTCATACAGCACATCATGATAGGAAAAGTATGCACAAATCCATTAGAGAATGAAAGTTGCTACAAATTAAAGAAAGGAGCAAAAGTAGACAGAGTTAGAAGAAAAGCACACAAAAAAGCAAGAAAGACAGAGACGAGAATTAACAATTGCTGCCACAGTGTGCACAACTGGGAAGAAAGAGGGGCGATGAAGAGCACCAGCGAATTCATCAGCAATAACTATGTTTGATTGTTCTGAATGCGTTTAGGACCTTCAAGCCCAGTTTAAATGACCATAAGAATCATTAGTTCCCTTGCAAAGAAGTGAATAACATTTACTGTTAACATGCTACTTCACAGAATTTAATCACCCTCTAAACTTTACGTAAATGTGCTACAACTCTTAAACGTGACAAATCAACCTTTCTGCTGCTCATAGTATAGTCTGAAAAACATGCACTTCATTATTAGTGAATAAGATGATGAGCTTGCTGTACAGGGAAAGCAGTTGCATGGCATTATTTCCTTTCGAGTATGTCCGTGACTATACCAACAGCTATGGTTTTACCTCCCTCTCTCAAGGCTATCCGCCCTAGAGCTCGAAAATCGCTGTACTTTTCAATGCACACTCCCTCGTCAGGTACTATCTGCAGGACATCAACAACGGCAGTCAGCCTCAACCACAAGGGAATACTTTCGAGTCTTACATTTGGAGGAAATCAAAGTAATCAGTAGCTTCCAATATACCACCTAGACCACAATGAACCTTCCCCGGTGAAAAAAACATATCGTACCACAACAATAGCACTCTGATTGGCAGTCAAATGCCGAGGACGCTGCCTCAAGACTGTCCCTTTCTTAGGGTCCAACAAGGATACAAGCTGATCCACCCTTGCGGGCTGTCGTGCATGATGGACATGCAAAATCACCTGTATACTATCAACAGTCATTAGGTAACGTCGCGCACTGGGATTCACACTCAAAACAAGAGAAATTTCATAACACAGCACATACCAACTCCAACTGCACATGAACTTCCCCTTCAAATACCATCAAACCACAACATAGAGGATGATAGAGCAATAGACTAAACCGGCGGCCATTATAAAATTGAGAGGAGAGCTAGACTTCCACGCGGAACGAACCTGCGAGCCCTTAAGAATTGGAGTCCTGATGTCCAAAGTAAGAAGTTGGACCTCAAACCGGGTAGCTACAGGTACCGGGTAGTCAGGATGACAAACCACACCTCCTGGAGCTAACATACCAGGATCAATGCCATTAAGCCCCACATCTACTCCTTCTCCAGCCCTTGCAGTTTTCAATTGCTGTCCCTGCAACTCTATGCTCTTCACAGTAGCAATTTCTCCGCTTGGCATCACTCGAACCTGTCCTATCCACGGTAGACCCATTAACTACTGAAACTGCAATGTCTTGTTACGACATATAACAATAGTTTGGATCCAGAAGAAACATCGTTGGGACCATACTGCCAACACAATGGAATTGGAAAAGGAAAAGTAATATGCCACTTCAGAACAGCAGCTATAACAAGAATAGCAGTCCGGACTGCTATGACAAACAGGTAGCGTTATAAGGACATTGCAAGCGTCTTCCCGATTCGTCCCAACCAAATACATAAAATCAGAAACAGCAGGTTCACTACTAACGACAAATCTGCAGGTGTAATAGGTCCGGAGTCTATAAATCAAGATTACGAACCTTGGTGCCACTGTGAATTGCGCCACTCTCAAGCTTGCCACCAAATGCACTAGGTCCAAGAGTACGAGTTTTCATTACTTCGGCAATAGTAAGGCGCAAAGGTCTGGCCACAAGCCTTGGAGGAGGCTTTAATGAGTCTACCAGCTCTATTAAGCAAGGACCGTTGTACCTGACAAACACAAATTTGCCTCAATTTAGTATTAGCACATAGAGCACCTTGGAGCACTTGAAGGAAAAAAAAAAAAAACAAAACAAAACAAAACAAAACAAAACAAAAAAACAAAAACAAAAACAAAAACAAAACAAAGAAGAACAATATCAGTGCTTGCATGAGTCAAAAGCTGTTTGCATCTTTTATATCTAACCTCAACACATTTGAGGCGCATGCGGGCCCAACAAACATGTTAACGAATCAAACTTCAAAAGTGGACAATTGTTCAAGACGGATCCACAAATAAAAAAGGTCAGGGAACCTTCTAAATTCAAACCATCTCCATTTCTTTCTGAAGACATTGTAAGTTAATAACATGCCTAGTTAGGATGATAGAAGGATTTACAAACCATGCTTTCAATGCTGATTCTGTTGATGCCATTGTTAAATTCTGACCCTCACTCGCACTTACAGGAACCCACTGCAACGATCCGTCCTTAAACCCACATTGCTTCAGGAAAGGTTGAAGTGTACCCCTGATAAAATCAAACCTTTCCTTAGAGAAATCAACAGCATCCAATTTGTTTACAGCTACAATCAGCTGTTCCACACCCAAACTTCTCACTAATTGAGCATGTTCTCTTGTTTGTCCTCTGCCTTGACCCTCTCCCTCCAAACCTGCTTCAAAAGCCCCGATCGAGGCATCCACCACAAGAATCGCAGCATCTGCTTGAGATGCCCCAGATATCATGTTGGGAACAAAATCCCTGTGACCTGGAGCATCTAGAAGCACTACGCGTAGTTTAGGCGTTTCAAAATGAGCAACAGCCACTGTCATTGTTACCCCACGTGCACGTTCTTCTGCACCCTCATCTAGGACAAATGCATATGCAAATGAACCTTTACCCTGGTAATCATTAAAGCATGATTGGAATTGAAGTTAGGATTAACCATTACGTGAAATGTCACATGAAAATTCTACAAGTCAAAGTGCCGAAGAGTTACAACTGGTAGATATACAAAGACAAATGCAAATTCAGAGCTGGCGTAAAAAATATGATGAGACTAGGACCGCACCTGTTGCTTTGACTCCTTTTCATTCTTATGCATTTCTTTCTGAGAAACTCGACCAAGAAGATGTAGAATACGGCCCATGAGAGTAGACTTTCCAGCGTCGACATGTCCAACCTACACTCAGTAGATCATGCTTAAGCTATAAAGAACGAAATCGTATAAATACTACACAAGGGTGAAACTTAAGTTTGAACCAAAAGATCAGAAAACAGTCAGATATGGGAACCTACTCACCACAATGAGATGAAGAAGCTGTCTCGAGTCTTTGTTGGCATCCTTTAACATCCACGGTTCAGGTTCATAAGATTCAAGTGACAATCCATAAGTGCTGGTTGAAGCATCAGCATTCTCTCTGCTTTTCGATTCCATGTAATCGCCACCAACGTTCATTTGTTTCAAAGCATCAGCCAGTTCACCTTCTGGAGCAGAAGAGCTACCGTTTCCCACATGACTTTCACTTGTACTAGCTCCAGAACTTTGAGATAATCCTGGTACATTCAGTTTGGAGACTGCTGAACTGATCGATTTCGAGGTCCCAGCTTTGGCCATGCTACTTCTGGCGCCATTCAATATGTCATCTGGACTTTGGGCAACTCCTGCTTACATGCAAGTTGATCATATGTTGTGAGCAAAAAAGTCATACATTAGAGGAAACACATTAAAAAGGGATGATTCAGACTGCAATACCATAGATTGTATGTGGACAAGCCAAAGAAATAAAATCGGCAGAAAAAGAAACATAAAACGTTTCAAACTGGTTTAATCAAATGCACCAAAAAGAGGTTAATCACGGAAAGAATATCCACACAACAGTACGCGAAGAATGTCTATCCATCCAATGAATGAGAGCAGGTAACAGAGAAGAAAAGATAAACGCTTACTGATAGGTGATTTTTTAAGCCCACGAGCCGCTAAATTTTTTTCGTCTGGAGAAGGAGTATCAAATTTAAATGGCACTGCACGTATAATCAATCGATCTGTTAACCATGAATCTTAAAAATGATAAAAAAATCGCATCTAAAGATAAAGCACTGCCGGATCCAAAAGCACATTACAAACTAAAATACATGCACCTCAATTCTAGGTTCCAAGAAAGGGAACACATAAGGAAAAACACCATGTGAGGATTTTGAACAAATCCACGATTACTGAAGCATACTCAAACAACTTTTTAAGACATAACTTTTCAAAAAATGAATAAGGGATACAATGTTTACTCTAATTTTGATCGAGATGAAATAACGGCAACCAAACATCCATACCTGAACTACAATTTGCTAACAGCTGGAAGATATATGCAAATTTCAAATTCTCAGATTATGCAACCAAACCATACATACTTCAGCACACTGTAGGTTCCAATATTGATGTTTGGCGAAAAGCGGCTTGGCACATTCTTTAAAAGATCATCTTTTTACCAGCATGATATGGACGCTCAACTTCATTGTGACACATTGAATTAGAGTACATTAGTACCAAGCAATACACCCTCACCTATTTTGGAACTAAACGATGAAGAGTCAGCAACTTTGCCCCAAGATTTCTGATATAAAACCGGCATATTACTTCTAAGAGAAGCCGTTGCTTGGTCAGATTTGGTTCCTGGCAGCGGGTTAAAAAGGGCTTTTGCAAGAGGTGAAACTCGCTGGACCTCAGTAACAACATACGCTGCAAACAGCAAGAGCATCTCAGTCATTCCTTCATCGCTCCTAAAATTATATTCCTAAACCCTAATCTTAACGTGACTAATATGGAAAAAATGCTTCGATATGGAAAAAACTGGTAGATTGCACATCTTCTATATGTCAGCAGAGATCAACAAAATAGACTTCTCAGTCACCAAAATCCCTCTGTGATAAAAGATACGCTCAATTTGTTGATTTAACTGAGAGGGGGCAAGTAGTAGTGCACACACATGATTCAAACATTCAAAGACCATAATTCCATTACCGAAGCTTAATCAAGTCCAGCCGCGTAACCTACTCAAGTACTGTTAAATTAGCGTTACTCTACACATCCGTGCTAGTGCCCGAGCCCACATATTCATTAAATGCTTTGCTGCATTGACTCAACAGTATTTTACCTCAACCATAAGAAACACTGAATGCTGAGTAAGCGGACTTAAAATAGAAGCATGTAAAATGATATGACGCAACACCTTTCTCTTTCGAGGATGTTGACGGGTCGCTGACTTTTTCGCTGAGATCTTCGCGTGGAGTATCACAAATGTCGCAAGTCAAACTATCTAATGAATTATCAAAAGTGCACACCGGACAAGCCCATAAACCTTCCTCCGTCTCAGGCTCATTGACTTCAGTTGCGGTAGGCTGCGTTGTAGATGTAAAGCTCTGAGATTGTCCTGATAAATCTCAACAGGCAACCAAATCAGAAAATTAGTGATGGCACATACATGTAGCATTTGGCGATATACCCACGGTGATATGATTTAATCCGATATATCCAGACACAGGTTGAAAAAAACAGTGAAATCAGCTTCCAATTTCTAGTAACAGTGCATTCCAGAATCTATAGCTTCCTTCACGACTATTAAAAGAAGTTGCATAACTCAGCTTTCTATCAGCTTCGTACGTGGTACAAAGGATAGTGAATTTAACTAATGGGAAAAAAGGGATGCAACGAAAAGTCAAAAGATAGAGAACTGTGGCAAGGGGAAAAGGATCAAATTACGAAATGAAATCTACAACCATCATAGATGGAACCAGGAATAGCAAGGAGAAACAGTTGAAATCAAGAGTTCCAAACCCTACAGCTGAAGAATTGGACAAGTCTGTTTTCCCACGTCATGAAAAAATGGTGAAGAAACTCAAAAATCTTACCAGGCACGACTGAAGAGGTAGAAGTCGGCTCCTTGTCCTCCAAGTACTCCTCCTCTTCGTAATAGTCCTCCTCGTCGTAATCATCATAACCGTCGTCGTCGAAATCAGACTGCCTCCATTTGCGAGGCATTGCTGCTTAGCTCCTTTCCGACCACTCTCACACCGTCTATCCACCTAGCTGAACTGGAGCAGCTGAATCCCTAACTGTGAATGCAACAGCATCATTCGACCACCGAAAATTTACTATAGTCAACAAACTATGCTTCTAACCCATAAAAACCACGTATCATCGAAAGCTGTTCGAGCAGAGGGCTACCAGAATCCCGCACTAGTCATGCACTAAGAGGAGGAGCTACTGAAATAAGCACAGACAAGCTGGCAGCAATAGGGAGTGAAGGCGAGAGGAGGGGACCTGGAGGGGAAGGGGGGGGGGGGGGAGGGGGTTTAGTGGCAGGGGCGAACCCTAAATCAACAAATAAAACAGAGAGAGAGTGTGGGCAACGGACAGTACAACGAAGAGGAAGAAGGGCCAGGTCAAGCTGAAGTTGACGACGACGAAGACGAGCCCAGCTCGGACGAGAGTCGAGCAGAGTCGTCGTCCCACACGGAGGGCAGGGCAGAGAAGAGAGATCTTTGTAAAAATTGTTTACAAATAGGGAATTGTTTACTATTTGTAAACAATTTTTTTGTACCCAACGGCACAAATTTTTGTTAGTGTTTTTAAGGAAGCAAGGAAGGAATCCTTGTTTGAGTCTCTTCCATGTAGATTCTTTCAAAGTATATACTAAACATAAAAGCTAAGAAAGAAAAAATAAAATTTCATAAACTGGAAAACCAATTTTTGTTTGTGTTACTTGGACATCATCAAATTTGAACATGTATCTAACAACACTTATGTTTATACTTGGATGTGAGTATGTTATTACTTTAACATTTAAATAGACTTTTGGTTTGTAGTACAAGTATTATATTTTTATTTTTAAGAAATTGGAACAAGTATTCAAAAAAAAAATACTAATTTTCTTCAACATCAAAAAGTAAGATAAGTCTTTGCTTACACTATCAAATACAATAACTATATACTTCAGTTATAACTGAAAAAACATATAAGTATATATTAATACTATAGCAACTTAGGAATGATCATTATAATTTATTATAGTATACAATAAAATAAGATAACATACAAATGAATATAATAATAATAATAATAATAATAATAAAACACACAAATAATAGTAAAAGACATAGATTTTTATAATATAAAAATATATTATTTTATTTAAAAATAGTAAATAATTAACATTATATTATTCTATATATTTAGGATATGTATGTCATCTACGTCATTGTATCGATAAATTAGTAGATTTGAAGGCATTTATTTGTTTTGTGATTAAACCTCTTTCTTCTTCTTCTTCTTTTTTTTTTTTTTTTTTTTTTTTTTTTTCTTTACAAAGACAAAACTCCTATAATTCTAAAACCAATTCTTATTATGTAAAGAATAAGAATAAATAAATTTTAGCTTCCATTGGTGTTATTAGAATTTTTTTTATTAAAATTAAGAATAGATAATAAATCAACTCTGTTTTAAAAAAAGCTACTTGATTTTAGTAAATTTTATTCATTTTAATTCATTCTTAAATTTTCTTCAAGAAAATATGATAATAATCAAGTTATATAAATTATAATATTTTTCAAGATTTTATGATATTTTCAAAGATATTTATAAAATCTAGAAGAACCAAAAAAATAATAAATTAAATTAAATGAATATATTACTTTCTGTATTTTGAAATATCAATGTTTAGAATTTAATCTGAGTAGGTTCTGAAAAATGTAATAGTACTTATGAAGTGCTTGAAAGAATATATTACTTACATTTTGTTTGATTATAAGTTCCAGAATATTAAAATTGATCTTAAAGAATATAAACAATCTATCTTTCAACTCATTTGAAATTTATTGTGAAGTAAATTTGTAGCTTTGGAATAAAAATTCAACAAACATATTACAAAGAATTTTTATTACTTAGAGATATTTTAAATTATTTTTAAATTTAAAAATAAAATAAAATTATGGATTAAATGTTCATGATTTCAAAAACTATAAATAAGTAATTACTTTCTACTATCTATATAATAAAAATAAATCTAGTTATATGACAAAGACATCAAAAAGTTTTCTCATTGACTAATTAATTGAGACAAAGAATTCTTCTTATTGACCAAAAACCTATATTAACCTTTTCACAATGCAAAAATATATGTTGTCTTTTCCAATGTAAAAACATTTGTTGTCCTATTACATTATAAAAATTTATATTGTCCTTTCACAATGTATTTTTTAAAAAATATTTAAACTTAAAATATTACAATAGATATAGTTTATTTTAAAATTTTATTAAATTAGCTATTTTAGTTATTGAAGTAATTTTTTATATTTAAAATATATGTATAAAATCTGTTTATATTTTTATTAATTTTTTATATAATTAATTTTCAAAATACAATTAAGATCCTTAATTCTAAAGATAATGAAGTCCATATCATATTGAAGAAACATAAGTTAGAAGTATCAATGCTTAATATCATCAAAGTTGTTGATAAAGAGAAGTGTAAAATATAGTCACTCTCACTTCCAATATCCTTTACTTATAAGTAATGGTTGATGTGCTAATAGAAAACTTCTATTTTTTGGTTTTTACATTCATCAAAAAATATACTTATTATATTTTTTGACATTTCACTTACCACAAGCATATGCTTTAACATATACTTTATGTATCTAGGATCTTGTGGCATCTCACCTATCACAAAGATATTCCATAACCTATACTTAATACTCTTATCTATCTATAAATACTTTCTAATAGATCTTTTATTCTATTGATATTATTTATTAGTCCTTAATTTTGAGGCTTACATATAGATTTGGCCTTTTTACATCTTAAGAGCCAATCTTTTGACCATTAATAAATTATTTAAGATAATATCTTCTATATGGTAATATATTCTTTTAATTTTTTTTTAACTTGCTTTGATACTCCTACTTTTTTATTATTCAAAGACTTTCAAATCTAATGTCTTTGTCAATATGTGATATTATAGAATAACTTATATTTGATCTTCAATTCTAGCATTTATAAAGTTAAAAAGTGGCCTTCAAAGCTGTTTTAATGGACTTACTATCAAGGACATGAATTGAAAGAAGATGTATAAACTTAAAAAAATTGTGTCAAAAGAAAAGTGATAAAATATCAATAAAGTAGTATGTATATTAAAAAAAAACTAGAATGACTGTTGCCAAAAGACAAAGAAACTAGAAACTCTTAAATCTAAACTAGAACAAAGAAAAGAGTTGACAAGAGTGAAGAAGGCTTCACTCTTGCCTCTATATATATTATCTAATTAGGAGCTAGATGGCAATGTTCTATAAGACCTCTAATATATGTTGACTTTGCAAGACACATGCCTTAGCTTATAAAGCAAGTTTTCTATGTAAGGGCAACATAATTAGCTTGTTCTTTAAGCTATCAACATGTGTGGCACATGGCTAACTTATCGACTACATTTCTAATCTAAAAAGTTAATTATAGATACCTATAAAGTCAAAGCAGTATCTATGAAGCTTCTAGAAAGATTCTATAGAAGATATTATAGATTTAACCTATTTTTACCTACTTTTATCCAATCATATAAGTAATTATTTGTTTATATGTATGTATCCATGATACTTATATTCTTTTATGTTGGATTGTTTCAATACTTTCTTAATGTACTTACTTTGATTTATTATAATAGTCTTTTTAATACAATCTCTCACAAATTCTATTCTTATAAAATAATTAAGCTTTGTCAAATCACTCATCTTATTTTTTTTTTAATTTTTTTAATTTTTTTTAACTTTGCCTTTAATCAATCCATCATCTTGATATTAATTAAGATGAATAAATTATTAATATTAATGATAAAAATCAATATTTTTTTTTGATTGCATTACATATATTAAATGATGAACTTTATTCTTTATACATCCTTTATTTATAAAAAAATGTGTCAAAACATTAGTACCATGCTTTTGATGATTGCTTGAAATCATACAATGATTTTTTCAACTTACAAATTAGCTATTGTGTATTTATTTTTTATTTTTTTATTTATTTTTGGTTTTTTAAATACTTAAAGTTTATCTATATAAGTATTTTTTAACTCTTTATTTAAGAAAATCGTCTTCACATCTATTTATTACATCTTTAAGTCCATTGTTGCCCTAATTGGTATAATGATTCTAATATTGGCAGATTTGGCCATAAAAACAAATACCTCATTAAAATCAAGACCAACAACTTGTTAATAGTATTTGAAAATTAATCTTATCTTGCATCTCACAATATTGCCTATTGTATTTTTTTTAATTCTAAGTATCCACTTACAACCAATTAAAGATGAATTTACTAAAAGTATAAACAATTTTCATGTTCTATTATATATGAATAATTTTTACTGTTTTTTTCTAGCCTTCATCAATTTTATAGCATCTATAGAATTTATTGTATTGTATAAAGTCAATAAATTAGTAAAAAGTACAACATTGATATATTCTTCAGTTACTTGAAAAAAGATGTGCTTCTTCTATCATTTATCAAGTAATCTTATTTCTTTCATAAGATATTTCTTTTCATTTGGAGAAGAGTCTTTGTTATATATTCCATGATTTCTTTCAAATTTATTTTTTTCTTAAATCTTGTCTTTTTTCACTTTAAAATGACACCTTTCATCATCATCATCTTCAATATCTTTATTTCTCTCATTAATGGTTTTAAAAATTATATTTTTTTTTTCATCTTTTTAGGTTTTTTACCTTGATTCACATCTCCACCACTTTAATTGTCTTCATCATCTTCTTTCTTTGTTGAAATTATAGATGTATCTACAAACATACTATTATTTTTACTTAGACACATATCTAATTGCTTGCAAGTACTTTTATACTCCAAAAACTTAACATCATAACTTTTGATAATCTTTTTGGTATTTAAACACATTAATTTATATACCTTGGTACATTCACAATATCCAAGAAATACACATTTTGTATCTTTTGTATCAAGTTTGGACCTCATATAATTTGATTTATTTGCATACATAATAAATTTAAAAGTTATCATGTATAAAACACAAGGTTTCTCCTACTTCAAGTTTCTTGTCAAGTCATGGTTGTGATTGTACTTGTAAAGCATCTATTCTTTGCATGTATTGTATTTACTATGGCTTCTGCTCAAAACTCATGTATAAGGTTACAAGTATAAATCATACATCTTATCATTTCTACAATAATTTGATCTACTCTTTCAATACATTCATATTATTATAAAGTGTAAGAAATAGAAATTTGCCTTAGAATACCTTAAATCTTTAAAAATTCATCAAAATAATTTAACAAATATTCACTCCTATTGTTAGTGCAAAATATCTTGATCTTCTACTCACATTACTTCTCTATAAGTGCCTTAAATTCCTTAAATATTGATAAATACTCATTCTTACCGTTAATGATAAAAATCCACATCTTTCTTAAAAAATCATCAATATATTTGATAAAATACCTTGCTCTTTCTATTGATGACATCTTTATAGGTTTTTAAATATCCAAATATACAATCTTCAATAATTTGCTTACACTTGTTGTAATTCTACTTAAAAATAAAGTTTTTTTTTTTATATATATACCTTAGATACAACTATCATAAGCAAGAAATGTTATATTATTATATGTTTGACTAAGATCCAAGTGACTCACCATAGATTAGAGCTCCTTCATGATGTTGAAATTGAAATGAATAAGGCATCAAAGCTAAATGCCAAACTTGATTTGAGCTTGTGGAAATTCAACAAATGTTGCAACTTCAATTTCATTCACCTTCTTATGATTGATGAAGAAGATTTTTCTATTTTTAAAGCCCTTGGAAATTTCATGTCTACCTAATGTCTTCACAAAAAACTCATTTTTGTCAAATACAACCTTATAACTATAGAAAATAAATTTGCTCACTAAAAAATATTTTTTTTATTCAATTTTAGCACATTGTCAAAGACAAGAACATAAATAAATAAACAAGTGAGACTTCTCTCAAAGAAAGATGAAAAAATAGAAATAACTTAATATGTATATTAAGAAAGAAAATGGAATGGCTATTGCCAAAAGTCAAGAAAACTAGAGACTCTTGAAACTAGACTGGAAGCAAGATAGGAATTGACAAGAGTGAAGAAGGCTTCACTCTTGTTTCTATATATACTATCTAACTAGGCGCTATGTGGCAATGTTCTATAAGACCTCCAATATATGTTGACTTTGTAGGACACATGCCTTGACTTATAAGGCAAGTTTTTCTATGTGATGGCCACATAGTTAACTTGGTCTTCAAGCTAACAATATGAGTGGCACATGGCTAACTTGTTGACCACGTTTCTAATCCAAAAAGTCAATTAAAGATACCTATATAGTCAAAGCAACATCTATTAAGCTTCTAGGAAGCTTTCATAGCAAATATTATAGAATTAACTTATTTTTACCTATTTTTACTTATTTCTATCTATTTATATATGTAATTATTGGCTTACATGCGTATGTCTGTGACACATATATAAGACTTCTTTTAATATTATCATCTTGATTTGAGCCTTTATAACAATCTCTACTACAATAGAATCTTTTCTAATAGCTTGTATCATGTCATTGTCTCCCAACAAAACTCTACTTGCTAGAATTTCTTTATAAGTATCAAATAAATGCTTATATAAAGCTATTTTTTTTTTATAGCACTCAAATCAACAATCTATTTGGAGTTAAAAATTATAGAGGTGCCTTTACTTACTATGAATATATAATTATTTCATCTAAATTTGTTATATGTATTGTTAGTATTTTCTCTATTTTTTTTCATAGCCTTATAGTAATTTTGTACAAAATGATATGTGTTTTTAGAAAGGAAGGAAGTTCTCACATTTCTACTTACATTATTATATTAGTTGGTATAACTATCTTTGTCTTGTCTTAAAAAGAGACCCAAATTTTTTGTTTGATGTTCATTTGTTTTCTTCTTTTTAATCACTTCATGAATAAATCTTAGCGAAACATAGTCTAATGTGATTTTTATCATTTTTATGGACTCTAATACCATAATTATGTAATTTTAAGAATTAAAAAGATTCACAAATAAGGTCATGACAATATCATATTCATCTACTAGCTTGTTAATAATTGTTAATTGATTTGTAAGATCTTTTATTTTGTTAATATGAAGTATGAGATCATTACTTTTTTCCTCAGTTTCTATTAAGAATTTATTCCTTCTTTATAGGTTATTGAAAAGATTCTTATTTTTATAATTATTACAAAAAATCTTCTATGCTTCTCTTGATCCATTACAAGAAATAATAAAAGAAAAGTTGGTTACATCTAAATTTGGTGGCAATCATACCAAAAGCCTTCTTTTTAGGTCATTTGAAGTTATTTTGTTTTTTTTGGAATCAACATTAGTACTTGAGGGATCTTCATTTTTATCTATAATATGTCAAAGATCTAAAGAAACTAACAAAAATTATATTTTCTTCTTCCAATAGTAGAAACTGTCTCTTTTAAATTTTTTAATGGCCTTCAAGTTGTTACTTTCTTTTGAAATCAGTTTTTAATATATATATATATATATATATATATATATCAAAGATTCTAAAACCTCTCAAAATTTGCAAAAAGGTGTAATTGCATTAGAATTCTAAAATACCATTTTTATAAATAAATTAGTAATTTTACTTCGATATCACTTTCAACTTCATTTTTAAGACTTTTTATACAATTTATAAACTATATAAATATCACCTATCAAATTTATCAATCTTAAATCACTATTATACTTAAAAATCACTTCTTAATCTTATAAGAAGCTTCTTAAGCACCTTAAACTTCTTTCTTGTATGAAAGCATAATATTAATCCACCAAAGATCTAATTTATTAAAAAGATATAATACTAGAATTGTAAAACATTATTTTAAGGTATGAAATAAATGCCAAATTTAAAATATATTTAACAATAAGTAAGAGCTATCAAATATTTAGAATAAAATATAAATATAAAATTTAGAAGATTTTTAATTCTATTATCATCAAAAACAAAATATTCTATTTGAATAATATTAAAGACTTCATAGAACTTCAAAACTCATAAGTAAATGTGTGTGAGCCCTTAACATATTAAAGAAACATAATTTAGAAGTCTCAACACTTAGCATCATCAAAGTTGCTAATAAAGAGAAGTATAGAATAAGATGACTCTCAATTCTAATACTTTTTATTTATATGTAGTAGTTGATGACCTAATAGAAAACGTCCATTTTTTGGCTTTTACATTCATCAAAAAATATATCTATTATATCCTTTGGCATTTCACCTACCACAAGCATATGCTTTAATTAATATTTTATGTGCCTAGAGTGGCATCTCATCTACCACAAAGATATTCTAATTTTAATTTATTTACTTAAATTATTGTGATAAATAAAATTGTATTTGCCAATTTTACTAAAGAAATGTAAATGATTTTATTTTTGCATTTTGTGCATATATATATATATATATATATATATATATATATATTTCTATTACTTTATTAGTAGTTTATTTTTGATTTAACAACTACAAATTAAAATTTTATCTCTTTTTTGTACTTAACAATAAAAATTTCTGCTAATTAAATATATAATATCTTGATAGAAAATTCAAATCTACCAACACTTATTTTAAATATTTTCTATGTGAAGATATTTATTCATATATATATATATATATATATATATACTTTGAACAATATCAATTAATTTTAAAGAAGTTTATGTATTTTTTATAATCAAATATACAATAAAAAATTATCTATATATATATATATATATATATATATATATACATTCATACATATTTTTATTTTTTTATTTTTTTATTTTTTATGTTTTTTTATTGTAGAAAGTTTAACCAGATTCTATGTTTTATTTTCAAAAAAATCAAAAGAATGAGTTTTGTCCAAAATTGGAAAAAATGAGTTATACCATTGTGAAGTAAATTCTCTTTAAAATTTAAGTGATAATGGTTTATTTAATTTTAAATTTTAAATGTTGAAATGTCATATTGTGTTTATAAAACACAAAGTTGCATTGGTTCCTTTACTAACTATAAAAATTGCAGTATTTTATTTTATTTTACCTTTTATTTTTGAAGAATCTTCTTCAAATGAAAACAGCAACCGACATAGTCTAGATTTGTTTATTTTTGTAACAAAAAAAAAGTTTTGAAATTAATAGAATTTTCGCAATTTTTGGAGAAAAAGAAAAAGCTGATTCAATTTCAAATAACACATTTTCCATTGATCACAAAGTCTTTTCTACATCAAACATTGTTATCACAAATTATTACATGCTAAAATTCTTGCAACAATTTTTTCTGTTTAGGGACGTATTTACTACATTTAGATTTAAAAGTTCAGCTTCAGTAATTACTGGTAAATATTATTATATAAATAAACACATTATAGCAAAAAGAAGGCTTCAATTATGACTTTCAAGGAGCATAGAAGTTTTGAAAGCTATATTTAGATTATGTTGTATAAAAAGGTTTCATTTTCCTTACTTCTCTTTATAATTATATCTCATCAAAATAAAAGAGAAGAAGGAAAAGAAGAAGGAAAAGAAGTTGTGTTGTTTTGTGGGTTGTGATTATTCAATAAATACTCAATGTAGTATTGGCGGAATATTTAAAAACACAAAATGCATGATATGGCATAAAAACGTGGAACTCTAGAAGTTTATTTATTTCAAAATAAATTAGGAATAATAATAAAGAAATAGAACGGTGAAGTTTGAGAATGAATGGAATGTGAAGGAACAGAAAGCAGAGGAAGAATTGAACAGGAGTAGTGATGAATGAGAATGTGCGTCGGGCATGAGCCCAGCTAGTGTGAGGGTTTGGATGATAAAGAGAAGCGCCTGGATGAAGGATGTGAGGGAGTAATAATCAAGAATCAGGAGCAGCAGCAGAAGGAAGCCAGGCAGGCAGGCAGGATATTGGAGGAGGGTATTGGAGGGTATCGGGGGGTGTTGGAGAATCGGAGGGGGGGGGTTTCTGTTTTCTGCTTTTGTCTTCTTCTTTTTCTTCTTGGCGTCCCCGTAACCACCCCCACCCGTCCGTCCGTCCATCCATCCATCCATCCATCATCCTTCTCAGGGGGTTTGTTCATTCGCCCGTCCTGAAGCTTGGTTCTATCCCGTCCCTGCCCTGCTCTGCGCTGTGGGGTGAGTGAATGAATGAGTGTGTTTTGCGTCTTCACAACTCACCTGGCTGGGTTCGATTCCAGCATCTCTCTCTCTCTCGCTGTCTCTCTCCGCGCTCCCCCATTCCTCAGCTCCCCCTGTTTCGCACCCTCCTCCCTCCCCCACTCTCTTGTTTTTCCTGTTTCGCACTGGGGTGTGGCATCATGGCGCATGCAGCTTTTGGCCTCCTCCACTGTGCCGGTTTTCCCTTTCGGCACCGCTTGTTATCCATAGTTTTGTTTCAGCTGGGGAGTATCGATGCCGCACGCGGAATTCAATGCGACTCTGGGGATTGTCGCAAGTGCTGAGCAGCCTTCAACAACAACAGAGGCCTTCCTCACTTACTTTTAGCGCAGCTAGGTTTCCAAGAAAATTGTGACAATTCGCAGCTGTTGGCGGTTGAAAATACAAAAAAGCGTTGGAGGGTACCAGGAAAACACTCTAGAAGGCTCACCAGAGTTGGTACAAGGTGAGCAAAGTGGAGTAATGAGAGGACCAGAGAAGTCATCATGGGAAGATCGAGAGGCGTTGATGGATGTCGCAGTGCCGGTGTATGAGAAGGGGAGGGACGATGAGAAGCCTCCAATTCATCCTGTCCGACTGCAATCTTTCTTTGTGGCTGCTGTTCTCACGGTCTTTACGAGTTCCCTGGTAATGTGGCCCTTGTGCTTTCCATTGCATTCCCAATCTTGTCTCTTTATTTGGTGCCACTGAGGAAGAGACCTTAGTTCCATCTAAGCCTTGCTCTGCGAATGATGTGGGTCACTCCACTGGTAATCCATTTGCGATGCGATTTGATATTGTTCGGACGATTCGCTTTGAAGTGTTATTGAAACACACTGCATTTGAGGCCAGACTATGCCAAACACCGTGACTTCAGAGTGTTCTTCTATGTGATTCAGAAATTTCAGCTCCAGCTATTAGGATTCGTCAGAACTGGTGATTGGTATCTTGAAGAAGTCTTTTTCGTGAATTGACATCCTAATTTGGCTACTACGCAAATGATTGATCCTGGATGTCGTGTGTGACAGGGTATCCTAACAACGCTGTCACAAACTGGTGGAGGCTACAAATACGACTACGCAACCATTCCTTTCTTGGCTGAAGTTCTAAAGGTCGAAAACTGGAATGTAGCATGCAACTGAAGTTTCACCGAGAAGCAGTGCGTGTCATTGCACATTCTTAGAAACTCGCTGGTTTTCTGTGCAGTTCATCATTTGTGGCTATCTTTTATGGAAGGAAAGCAAAACATCGAAGGCTGCAAAAGTTACAACAAGCTGGAGCAGCATATTTCTTTACCCAATCCCATCCATTATCTACCTTGTGCACAATAATGTGCACTTTCTAACTCTCACGTATGTTGACACCTCAACTCATCAAATCATGGGCAACTTGAAGATTGTCACAACTGGGATCTTGTTCAGGTTAGGCTCCTGATCTCGAATCTGCAACTATTGGTTGAGGCTCTTACTTGTTCTCTGGTTCCTTTTGATGTATGAAATGTAGAAGAGTTGGAGTCATGCTCAAACTCGTGGCGGAATTGATTGATGTGTCTTTATTGTTATACTGGTTCAATGTGCACTTTTCCAGGACATTTTTGAAGAGGAAGTTGTCAAGACTGCAATGGATGGCGATAGTGTTGCTGACCATCGGTACAACAGTCAGCCAGGTGAGAGTCTCCTCTTGACCGCCTCTAAACCAGCCGTCTTCTCTGATCATATCTGTCAGGTTCGATTATGCGAGAAATACATGCACGACAAGGAGTTCCTGAAATTGATCGGCACACAGGTGAAAGACTGTGGAGAAATCAACTGCGGAAGCTTACTGGCTGCGCCCATTGAAGGCTACCTCCTCGGCATACTCTCGGCGTGCCTTTCAGCGCTCGCAGGCATCTACACCGAATTCCTGATGAAGAAAAACCAGGACTCACTCTACTGGCAGAACATGCAACTATATGCGTAAGTGACCATTTCTACTTAGACGATGCAAACGGCTTTAGCATTCCAATGCTTTTTGCTTGTCTGGTTATTGTGACATCTAATTAAAAGCATCTGTTCAGAGAATCATTGTGCGCATATTGCAGGTTCGGCATATTGTTTAACATCGCACGCCTGACTGTGGACGACGTGAGAGGAGGCTTCTCTAAAGGTACCTGGTGGTACCGCCTATTCGATGGCTACAACTTCATGACATGGCTCGTGGTAGTCAACCTTGGCTGCACTGGTCTTTTGGTGTCATGGATAATGAAGTATGCTGACAGCATTGTCAAGGTCACATCTCAACTTCGAACTTTTGTGAATTGAGTAGGTCGAGGGAACTGTTCACAAAGCTTCGATTTTTCGGAATGTCGATTTTGTTGCAAGTTAGCGATCAGTTTCTAATGGTATCGTCTGTTTACAGGTTTACGCTACATCCATGGCGATGTTACTTACCATGGTAGTATCCATTCAGCTCTTCAACTTCAAACCAACTCTACAGGCAACTTATCTTTTCACTCTTAAACTCCTCTTGATTGCGGATGCAAATTATGAGAGATCATACCTTGTCTTGTATGGACACTATGTCTAATACAAATAGGGATTCGCTTTTGTGGTTGCAGCTGTTCCTAGGAATATTGATTTGCTGCATGTCTCTCCAACTCTACTACACACCCGTGGAATCGCTCATGGGAACGCTAACCTCACCAACACTAACTCCGAAACATTCCGAAAAAGAAGCCTATTCAGAAACTCTGAACTCCGAGGTGCTCACCAAGAGGAAAACTTCGTCATCTTGACGTCCATTGGACGACAAATCGGTACAATGACGTAGTAGACCTACCAGGAGTCTCGAGTTTTGTAGTATTCTTACCAGAGATTGACCTGCATTCTGTGGAAACAGTTTTTCAATTAAACTCTCAAGGACACAGTCCACCTCTCGAGGTTAGATTTAAGGGTTCAGATAAGGGAAAAGTATGGGGAAAAGATGGAGTGAAGGCAATTTAGTTTTGTGGAAGTCCAGCACGTACAGTACGTTACCTTGTGCATGCCTCAAAAGCAATCTCCTTCCGAGTAATGTCATGTGCATTGTGTATATTATTGCCGCTGCGAAGAACGCAAGTCTCTAGAATCCCCTCGTCATGCTCAGTTGAGATGCTCGTCTGTGGTCTCAGCTTGCCATTTTGGCTTTTGGGCAAAAGTTCTGCCAGTCTGCCTTGAACATGCCAAACACGAGTTGCGCAACCAGTATGGCAGGCAGTACTGGTTCTCCCTTTGAACAGTTGCTCCAGAATGCTGCCTTTTTGTCCATCCGCTTTGTAAAGTGGCACAAGCCTCGGCAGTAGCAAGTACCCTTCGTCATCAATAAGGTAGGGAGCATGACCTCTATTCAATTTAAGCAACAAGTAAACCTAGTATGTTTCAAAAACAAGAAAAAAAAGAAAAAGACAGAGGTAGGGAGTATGACCGTCCCTTGCTCCTCGATTAAAATGGAAGTACCCATTACATGGTGCTAAACAATGCGGATGTTTTCCTACCTTCGAGGTCCTTGAACACTCCATTCTATTCTATCCATGTGAAAAGAAGAAAACAAATAGAAAAGAACATACAAAGGAGAAAAACAATTAAACAATTAAAAAATTAAAAAAAAAGTTTTTGGTTTTCTGATAAAACATAATTTGAAGAATTTGTTTCTAATGTAACATACGAAACTACTGTATCAAAATCTATAATTTTAAATCTTTTCTATGTAAAGTGGGTGTTTTAATTTATTAATTTCCTCTTTTTTTCTTTTTTTTTTCTTTTATAAATATGACGTGTAAAATCAGTGTATAATTTCTTTTCATGAAGTATGTTTGCTTTTTTTAAACATCTATTAGTTAAATAATATTTGAAAATTTAGTTACATTATGTACAAAATGATTGATCATGGATGTAAATTAGCTATAATGGCTTGAAAATCCATTATTAATTTATTTTTATCGAAATTGTGCTTGTATATGGAAAATATATTTTAATGAGTTTCCTTTTATAATTCATAAGGACATCACAATAAAATGAAAATATTTTAAAACTAAATAAAATGTATGCTACTTTGAAAAACAAATCATAAGTCTTGCATTTAAAATAAAATTCCAAATATATATATATATATATACTCTGTTGAAAAGTTCAAAGTATATATATGCATGTTTTTACTTTGAACTCTTTAACAGAGTATGTATATCTCGGCTAAAAGGTATTCGAAATTATGATTTTATTCATTTAAAATTGATACACATTATACAGTCTATATGTATTTTGAGAAACAATTTATGAATAAAATCATTGCATTGGGTGATAAACTTTATTTGAAGTAGAATATTACATTTTTTGAAGCAATTATTGAAATTTAAATACACATAAATGACTATTTATGAAAGAAGTTTATTTTAGAAACACCAACAAAAAAGTGATTTATTTTCTCAAGCTAATTGCATTTACATATTACATCTTGCATTTTTAATTTCTTGTTATTCTATCATCTTTTCACAATATCTTACACAATATCTCCAAATAAAATTCTTCATTTGTATCATTACCATATGAAGAAGTACAGATAATTTTACTTTTTTTGAATGAATAAAATAATACAAAGTATGTGTGTTTATTTACTTTTCATTAAAAAATCAATAATTACCCATATGTACAACATATAATGAAATAATGAAATAATATAGTTAATTTTTATAATGTATTTAGATCATTAATAGTATTTTACAATAATTTAATTAACTATTTGGTGTTAATTAGTTTTTTTTAATTTTCATTGATATTTTGTGTTAATAAATACTTTTTTCACATAATAATATTCACATTATAATAAAGAATTGTTTTTAGAACAGTTTTTAAAATTCACAAATATGTGGAAATAATTAAGTATCTGAATTTTACACCAACCTTAGTTTTGGTTAAAACTACTTCTTTGGTTTTTAATTTATTTATTTAATCAGCTTCTTTTATTTTCCATTCTAATGAATTATTTGAAGGTCAATTCACAACCTTTGTAATAAATATAAGATTTTTAAAATTATATGTTTTATTCAATGGTTTATTTAGAGATATTTTATATAAGTTTTCGTCCCTTTGTGACATAAATAAAAATGAATTTTATTATTTATGATTTGGACTAGGTTTTTTAATATATGGACTAATTGAAGTGTGTATGCATGAGTGTAATTTGTTAACACCCAAACAGTTTCATATATATATATATATATATAAATATAAATATATTTTTATATATGAACGAATATTTTTTAAAAATGATACATAATTATATTTTTGAACTTAAAATTTAATTTCAGGTAAAATTTATCAGCTTTAACTACATTATCCCAATAAATAATTATTATATTAAAGCAATGTAGTGTGATTTTTATCTTAAATTTTAAACTAGCCATAATAAAACTTCAAAACTTATTGAATTTTTAATTGAATAAATTTTAAATCAAACTTTAAATACAAAATCATTTTCTCAAAAAATAGAACTTAAAAATTTATTAGTTATATAAGTATAAATATATTATTCTCTCAAATCGACTATCTTTTTTTAAAAGTTTCTTTTGCAAGGAACTTAAACAGATTCTAGAAGTCTAGTTAATGTAACATTAATGTGTGAAAATTATATATATATATATATATATATATATATATCATATTTCTAAAACCTTATTTTTAAATGATTTAATTATGAAAAAAATATTGATTTGATAGTTTATGGTTTAAAATTTGTTTAGAAAAAAATACATATATATATATATATATATATATATATTTAGGGTGTTGCTAATACCATCACAATTTTTGTTACTCCTATTAGAACTTACCACCTACTTAATCTATTTTTTTTTTTTTTTTTTTTTTTTTTTTTTAGTATTTTTTAGTTTTTAGTTTTATTTCAATCAAAATCTCTATTCAATCAAATGATTTGGAAAGTCATGATATAAAGAGAATTTAATTGGTATGTAAATTATCATAAAAAGGTGGCATATAATAGATAGGAGATTTTGGTGGCAATAGCAAAAAGTGTGGTGGCATTAATAATATCTTATATATATTTATATAATTATATATTAGTTTTTTTCTTTTTGAAAATTTTATGTTCAAAAATAATATATATATATATATATATATATATATATATATATATTCATTTATAAAATTAAAATTATTTATCTTAAATATTTTTTATCAATTTATTTAGATGTTTAGAAAGTTGTGAAAAAACATTTAAATAATTAATTTTTAGAAAAATGTTTTTTTTAATATATAATATTTTGATAGAGGTTTAAAATTTAAAAAACTAGGCTGATTAATTTATTTTTAAATAATTTTTTTTGCATATAAATAAAAATATATGATTTATTAAATTAATATCTGATTAGCAATGTAGTATAATTTTAAAATCTAATGAAATGTTTCAATATTAAAACAATTATTCTCTTTCAAAACATTAAATTAAGAAATTTAGAAATATAAATTTTTTGAATAAAAAAAGATGATAGATATACACTTAACAATCCTAAATCCTAAACCCTAAAATCTTATTGATAAAGATAGGATTTTCAAAACTAAGAGATGGTCCTTAATAGAGATTCTATTTATGTATTGTTATAAGAGGATAGATTTTGAAAAATATAGGCCAACCAAATGACAATGTATGTAGATAACTAAAGTACCTAAATAGTGGAAAATCATAGCAAATAATTTGTGGAGAATAGGTGTATATAGAAACCAATAACAAATTCAAGATAAATGAGAGCAATTATCACCAAATTTCAAGAAAGTGTATGATTATGAAAAAAAATAACTTCTAGTCAATTAAATTATATTTCTATGAATCTATTGGACAAAAAAAGTCATCCAAGAAGATTTCTATCAATACCACTAAATCAAATCATCTACCAAATAATATTAAAGTGGTTTCCTAAAACTTTGCAAGTATCAAGGATATGAATTTCTAAAAAAGAAAACTTTAATATATTCTTATGTCACTCAAAAGTCTAAAAAATTATTCAAAGTTGGTAATGTATTGAACTAGAATGGCTATTGCTAAAGACAAGAAGATTAGAAAGTCTTGAGACAAGACTAAAGACTAGAAAGGCATTGACAAGAGTGAAGAAGACTTCACTCTTACCTTCATATATACTATCAAACTAGGAGCTATATAACAATGTTCTATAGGACCTTCAATATGTGTTGACTTTGCTAGATACGTATTTTAACTTACAAGGCAAAGTTTTTTATATGTGTACCATATAGTTAGCTTGTTTCACAAGCTATTAGTATATGTGGCACGTAGTTAACTTATTTACCAAGTTTCTAACCTACCAATCAATTATAAACACATTATCGTATTACATGCTGTCTTGCTTGAGAATGCACGGGACATCTGGATGTGGAAGATAAAACGATGTTTTGCAAGTATCCGAGTAGTTTAGTGGGTTTCAACTATCTAAATACAAACTATTTCGGATTTCAATATAAAAGCTTACTCCCAATACAAAGTGCTTAGAAACACTATTTTTAATAACTTTGAGATATTATAAGCATAATTTATTTTGTTATTTTTTAGTTTTATTTATTTATTTATTTTATTTATTTTATTTATTTTTTTAAACCCTAATCCTAGATAGTGAGCTTTGGCAAGGTGTAATTTTCAATCTGATCGTCTGATTGTTGTGAAACTTCTACCACTACTGCCTTTATAAGTCTTCTAAATGCTCAAGAAGTTCAATCCAATCCAATTTACAGATTGCAAGAAAATGCCTTAAATCCACACTGATGTCCCTTGACTGCCACCTAGAAGTTGATGACGAACTATAACTTATAATTTTTCCTTCTCTAACCATTGATTCTCATTCAAACTTTGTATACAGCTCCGCCTTTAAGTCTTCGACTTACCACATCAAAATTCACCTTATTTCAGCTGGTAGATCCCTAGATATTACAAAAACCCTAAACAACCCCAATATGCCGACTTGTGATACCTCTTTACACTAATGATCAAATATCTTCTATCCATACTATTAGATTAACACAAATTTTTGCAAGCACTTGGCATACTCAACCATC